TTGCTAAACTGCTGCCATGGCAACGTAAACCTGCTCACATATTTAGCGATTTCTTGGATTGGACCATCCTCTTTTATCGAGGATATATTGCCCCAATTCTGTCACGATTACGATCAATATCTGTAGTCGCTTTCAACGGATAAGAGTGAGTGAGTTTAGTTATACGCCGCACTCAGCAATATTCAAGCTACATGGTGTCGGTCTGTAAATAATCGAGTCTGGACCAGACAATCCAGTGATCAACAGCATGAGCATCGATCTGCACAATTCAACGGATAAGAAAAGAAGGCGACATGCGTACTGAATTGACACCGACCTAGTCTGTCATACAGACCCTGAAACAAATATATCAAAGAAAGCCCATGCAAGTCTAGAATATGTGGTAAGTCTAGATTACCATAGTTAAAGAAAGTCTCTGGGCTCCTTTTCATATGTTATTACTATAATTTAGGAACCATTTTGCTCATCTCAGAGACTATAGATGCTAGTCCAACACCGATCACACGCTCTGTGTACCCAGTAAAACATATACTACTCAAAACATGTTAAGAACACCCGATTCCTTTAGTGGAAGAATAAGTTGGGGCTTACGCCGCTTGTAGCAATATCATGTGGGGTTGGTGGATGTAATGACGGGGGCTGGGGGAGAAGGGTTACACCACACAACTATATGTTATGTCACGACATGTCCCAATTTGAAAATTGAAATAACCGAGTCTTCATTACCTATTTTGAGTAGCACAGGTCTACGTATTTCGACTGTGCTGGAAACACCTGTATATTCACGCTGTGTGGATTTGAATTGCATCGAGTGAGTATGGTTTTATGCCGTTTTTTTAGCAATATTCCAGCGATATCACGCCCGAAATTGCATCGAGATGGCGCGCGTATTTAGAAACTTTAAATCACACACTGGGATTTACAGCCACACGCTACAATATGCCCGAGTGGCTTTGTAAGTGCTTTCTGACAACATCAAAGCAAATGTCCGTGATTTACACAGTGACTGTTACCTGAATATAGAATATTTATTAACAAGACACAGTTCCACGAAACACAAACGAGAGTACTGACAAATGGCGACTTCACAATGGCAGACGTCAAATAATGTTCATACCGATAAAGCCCTCCTAATCCAGTCGCTTTAACTCGCTTTCACTCAAAATTCCTCTATCAACACTTCCCGATCTGAATCACCGCTACGAGTTGGTCGGGGGACATTTTAGCAGTATTGAGGCGTTAAATCCGTCAACACGTAAAGCTGGGACAATATCAAAATGGCAGCCAAATGCGCCATGATAAACGATCAGCACTTACACGTTGCTACTTGGACACCTCGAGTGTTCATGGGCTGAACATCACCTAGACACCATAACCCAGCCATATATTTCAGTACAGGTGATCGTGTTCTGGAACACAACTCTAAACACCATGAGGGGTGGTGGGGTAGTCTAGTGGTTAAAGCATTCGCTCGTCACACCGAAGACCCGGGTTCGATTCCCCACATGGGTACAATTTGTGAAGACCATCTCGGATGTCCCGCGCCTCGATATTGCTGGAACTTTGCTAAAAGCGGCGTAAAACCATACTCACTCACTCACTGGTTCGATTCCCCACATGGGTACAATGAGTGAAGCCCATTACTCCTGTCCTCCGTCGTGATATTGCTGGAATATTGTTACAAGCGGCGTAAAGAAAACTCACTCAACACCACGGCTTGGCATTTGCATACACCTTATGCGATCTATAAGTCCTTATATGGGCATAAAACACTGAGGGGATTCTGGGTCGGAATTAGTCCCAGAAACTAGTGCTGCTCATAACAGACGGCTCAGTGGATCCGTACGTTGTCAGCCTCAGTGACTTGCTTGACAGCGTTAGACAACTAAAATAATCAATACCATACCCAGCGTCTGTAAATGGATCATGCAGATAAGAGATTAAAGTGTTTATACAAATGTATGAAAAAACTCTTCGCATTTTCAGCTTCCAAGATTATATTTCCTACGTCACCTTGACTGTTACATGTCGTGTATTGCAAGTGCATGGGCTTAAAGGGTTTGTTGTTAAGAGTAGCATGTGTTGTCACCTTCAATCTGGACGTTTCTGTGTTTGTTGTTATCCCTACCCACCAGTTTCCCAAGCTCCATTGTCACATGGCAGTGTTTGTAGACATTGTAAGCTACCAGTTTCCCAAGCTCCATTGTCACATGGCAGTGTTTGTTGTTATCCCTACCCACCAGTTTCCCAAGCTCCATTGTCACATGGCAGTGTTTGTAGACATTGTAGAGCTACCAGTGTAAAATCTGTATAACATTGTTTCTGTTGAGATGTAGTAGATGTGTGCTAGGTACTATATTTAGTCCTGGAGACAAATAAGGACTAAAACGTCTTGGCCTGTGGGATTATTCCAGTGTAGTCAGACCCATTTATAACAAGAAGACAAAGTCATCAATATCCCCCGCAATGGCAAAATACTCTTTATGAATATGTCTACGAGTTGTGATTATGTCAAATGTTTTGGTGTGTATATAGAAAAGTGGAAGGAGAGTATTGAAAGGTTTTAAAAGTTCTGCTCCGGAAAAGAGCACTACCACCAATTTCAGTCTAAGTCAAACTTGTTGCCATGGGAACACCAAAAATATTTCATTCAGAAATCCAAAACTACCAAAAGGCACCAGTACACCACCAGACCAATCTATGTGCCAAGTTTGGTGAAGAAATAGTAAACGGTTTTAGAGTTCTGCTATGGAAAAGAGCACAACAACAAATTTCAATCTAAGTCAAACTTGTTGCCATGGAAATGCCAAAAATATTTTATTCAGAATTCCAAAACCACCAAAAGGCACCAGTACACCACCAGGTCTATCCATGTGCCTAGTTTGGTGAAGAAACACTGAAAGGTTTTAGAGTTTTGCTCCAGAAAAGAGCACTACCACAATTTCAGTCTAAGTCAAACTTGTTGCCATGAAAACGCCAAAAATATTTTATTCGAAATTCCAAAACTACAAAAAGGCACCAGTACCCCACCAGATATATCCATGTGCCAAGTTCGGTGAAGAAATAATGAACAGTTTTAAAGTTCTACTCCGGAAAAAGGAAAGACAAATGTGCGCGGACGCACGGATGCAGAGACGCACGAACGGAGTCCATTTTAATACCCCGCGCAATTTTTTTTATTTTATTCAGAATTCTAAAACTACCAAAAAGGCACCAGTACACCACCAGATGTATGTATGTGCCACGTTTGGTGAAGAAATATTGAACGGTTCTAAAGTTCTGCTCCAGAAAAAGAAAAGACAAATGTGCACGGACAGATGGACGGACGGACGGAGTCCATTTTTAATACCCCCGCAAAACGTGTTGCGGGGAATAAAACGTTCTGGTAGCTTTTTCTTCTGTATATAAGGGGCAATAACTCTTGCATCTTACCCCACGTCACATGAAGACCAGCAGCTAAGTGTAGATCACTTTTCACCCAGGATCCTCAGTCTTGGCCTATTGTGGAGGCTTGGCGACTGTTGCAGGAGGGAAATATTATCAACACTGACTTTATTACTATAATCACTGTTGTAAATTATAGAATACAACTGTAACTTACATAATAATAGAAGTGACAAAATCCTTTCCACATCCATAGGAAATCAATGCCAAAAGCAGAATCGATAGTACACTTGTGACTATATCATGAGCAGACATTTGTTTCAGCAGTATTACAGATGTATGATGTTGGCAAAAACAAACCAGGTCTGGACCAGACAATCCAGTGATTGTCACCATGCAGTACGATGACAGAGCATGTGTTTAGGATTCACAATGAAATAGTCATGATACCAGGTGTTCGGGAAAAGGTGAGCATATCCTGCCCCACCGGTGGCAATTGGCACACAGAGACTAAACCTCCCATACCATTTTCATTCTCCAATTAAAATAAAGTTTTCTCTGTCATGTTTCACCTGTATATTTATTTCTCAGTGTGAGATAATACTGTAGCTGTTTGTTGTTTACACCACACACAACCATATTCCAGCTACAAGATAGTGGTCTGTAAACAGTGAAGTCTGGACCAGACAATCAAGTGATAGACAGCATGAGCATCGATCTACAACTGGGGTGAGGTGAGGTGAGGTGAGGTGAAATTATGTTTAACGTCGTGCTTGAGAATATTTAGCTCATATGACGACATGCATGCGTGTGTATGTGTATGTGCGCCTGCTTGTACTAGCCCAGACTTAAGCTGGTTTTATAGTGCTAGCCCACTGAGATACCATACCGCAGTTAAGCATGAATACCCCACTTAGACACACTATTCTGACTCCAAGCCGACCAGTCCTTGTTGTACCCATTAATGCCGAGTGCCAGGCAGGGACCAACAAGTACCATATTTTAACGTCTTTTGGTCTGACGCAGTCGGGGATCGAACCCGCGACCTTCCGCTCTCCGGGCGGACTCTCTAACCTCTACACCACGGAGGCGGTCTTGATCTACAACTGGGATAAGATGACTTGTGTCAACGAAGTCAGCGAACCTGACCACCTGCTGTTCACAAAAACATTAAACATTGTTTGGGATATTTGTTACAGTATCATGCTCATGGCATCAAAAACACACTCACTACGTGAAATTGTGTCACTAACTCTCTAGTGACATGTCTAAAGAGGTTTTTGCAAGTGTTTTGAAAGGCTGTCCAGAGTTATCTCCCCTTTTCCAATCATTTTTGTTTTCCATTGGTGCATCCAGGTTATTGAACAGCACAGAGGAGATACTGATGAGTGGATGGATGAGATGGTTTTATGACAGGATGGTTCCAGGAATATCACTGGTGTAGGGTGGGGTGTGTAGGGTGGGGGAGAGGAGTTTGACACCTTGCACCCACATGGGAATCAAATCTGGGTCTTCGGTGTGACAAGTGGATGCTTTAACCACGGACCTTCCCAACCACTCAGAGACACTGGTCATACAGCTGGAGTAAAAGTGATTGAAATACAAACACAAATATAACATCAATAACAAATCTGTTTAATTGTCAGAATTATGAAATGCAATAACAAAAAGACAAAACAAGACCTCCATGAAACAGTCCCATGATTCAAAGTGTGAAATTCTTTCACCGACCACACCTTGACAATTGGGAAGTCAAGTCATGGTCAAATGGCTTTGTTTCGGGCAGTCCTCCAGGCCTTTCAAAAGTGCACCAACTGAAAAAGTTTTTCCAAGGTATATTTTGCATTTCTTACATAACACCCACCATTTTAAGATTTGGGATGCTCCATTTGTATTGGGACCGCCTCCGTGGTGTAGTGGTTTAAGCGCCCGCCCGGAGTGCGGAAGGTCGCAGGTTCGATCCCCGACGGCGTCATACCAAAAGACGTTAAAATATGGTACTTGTTGGTCCCTGCCTGGCGCTCAGAGTCAGTATAATGTGTCTGAGTGGGGTATTCATGCTTCACTGCGGCATGGTATCTCAGTGGGCTAGCACTATAAAACCAGCTTAAGTCTGGGCTAGTCCAAGCAGCCGCACATACACATACACATGCACGCCGTCATATGAGCGAAATATTCTCAAGCACGACGTTAAACCCAATTCCACCACCACCACCACCATTTGTATTGGTTCCATTTGTAAGCTGTGGCTTTCCACAGGTCTTGAGAAGAAACCTGCCCAAGATGTAATGTCCATGAACAACCCTTGTTTTATGTTTCTTGGATGTAGTTTTTGTTGATTCAGTTCCCTTGCGGTCCTAAACGTTCTGCAGGGTTGATAATCAGCTTGCCTTCACCTCACACTCGGTTAGTGTCCCAGATCTTGTGAGTCATCCACACTGATGGGTGGTCTCACATGTCTCATGCACAGACACGTGTCTCACACTGACTGCTGTTCTCACACTCACATCTCCGACACACGTCTCACTCAGACACTTGTCTCAAACAGACTGCTCTCACACTCACATCTCAGACAAACGTCTCACTCAGACACGTGTCTCAAACAGACTGCTAGTCTCACTCTTACATCTCCATTCAGAAACACAGAGAAACTTGTCTCACACACAACTCACATCTCATACACGTCTCCTTCAAAGAGCTGTGTCTCACACAGAGCTCCTGCTGCACACACATTTCTCACACACAGACTACTGGTGTCACACACGTCTCAAACACATACCTCACATGTCTCACAGTCACTGTTGGTCACACACATGCACCGTAGTAGTGGTAGAAATGAGAGTGAGTGAGTTGGGTTTTACGCCGCTTTTAGCAATATTCCAGCAATATCACGGCGGGGGACACCAGAAATGGGCTTCACACATTGTACCCAAGTGGGGAATCGAACCCGGGTCTTCAGTGTGACGAGCGGACACTGTAACAAGCAGGCTACCCTACCTCCCGGTAGAAATGAGAATAATAGACAACTTCCGATGTATTTAAAGACACAATTCCACACATTTTCGACAATATGTTGGCCTATATTTTATATATTGGGCCATATGCACTCACTTTAGCTTCCTATTGATGCAATGAAAGACTTATTATCCCTTAACTTTGCATTAATTCGTTTGAATTTTTTAACGAATACTTCATAAAGGACAATTCATTTGCCTCATAACTTTAAAAAGGTAGTTATCCTTGAAAACCTGAGTTTGTTTTGTTGAGATCATCAGTTTTGAGAAAGTTTTGAAATGTACATGAATTCTGCATCGCCCCTCATAGCTATTCCTCATAGGATGCCACAGAGACGCGCCGCTCTGATTGGTTGAAATTTCGTTCGTGTGTTCAGTGTTGTGGTGACCTTGAAGATAAGGTCAAGGTCACCCAAATTGACTGGTGTCTGCGAATTCCGCCAATGTAGGCTGTCACCAAATTTGAAGACATTGGGTACAACAGTTCATGAGATATCGCGTTAACAAGAATCGGGACGTACGGACGCTGCTGAATACATAGTCCCCCGTTTCGCGTTGCGGCCGGGGACAATTATCCAGGCTATCAACAGCCATTCCAGGTACACATGGGTACAGTCAGGCCTTTGAACTACAATAAAACACAATTTCTGGCCAAATTGTCCGGCTCATTTTCCCAGCACAGGAAGCGGAACACATCAACCCTAGTTCCGCACCAAATGTCACCTACTGGAAAATATCTGTACACACAATAAGCATAAGTGATGGTGATAAAAATGACAGCACTAAATACTTAAAATTGTGGTCAGTTTTAATTACTGGATGGATGTGCTTTTAAAAAGCATAAACATCTCACACTATTTCCTCCAATCACAGCTGTCACATGTCTCTGTCTCTTCAGTGCTTACATATGGTGCTCACTCAGGGAGCATGTGATTCTGATTTAGTGTAGTGGAACCTATAACTTCTTTGGAGACAGAACTCAGTCTTAGACAAAATGATACTAATGTCTGGCGCAAAAACATACATGCAACCTGTGATTGAAGCCAGTTCGGCAAACACCGACAACACCGCGTGCGACAGTTTTTTGATGTACGGAGCAGTTGCTTACATTCCATATATGGCAAGTGTTCTCTGTTTGGAAGCTGTTCACCTCAAAGTTTTAATTATCGAATTCAGGCAAGTCGTAAGGGATGATAAGTCTTTTATTGCATCAATAGGAAACTAAAGTGAGTGCATATGCCCGAATATAAATAATATAGGCCAAAATATTGTTGAAAATGTGCCCTTAAGTACCAGAGTGTGGGCCAGTCGCCATTCATCACCACTCGCCCCCTTTTAGTAACAGCCTGTCCCAGAATAACATGACTTGATCATGAATGGGCCAGTCGCATGTCTGTTCAAGGGAGATAACTGTATCACACATTGACAAATGCTGGAAATTTGTTTTCCCTTTGTTTTTCCCATTCTCGAAAGCCCACACGCACACACGTACCACATTTAACCCACACAGCCTCACACTGACCACACAGCCTCACACTGACCACACAGCTAGGAGTCCTGCACAAAGATCTTGATCAGGTGGTCAGACGTGGCAGGGAACTGGGTCACTGGGCACTGGCCATGTTGTTTCACGTAACCATGAATACATGGATAGCAAAACACATATCTGGAAAGAGAAATATAAACAATTGAACAGACCCATTGAGAATTTGTAAGGGGAGTAATTTCACTGAAATAACATGTTATCATTATTAAGCCATTAAAAGACATTACAGTTTTTCTGAAGCACCCACCCTGATACAGACAAGGCCGTGTCGTTGGTTCGGGCTCTTCCACAAATTGGGCACATAAAGGGAGACAACCTTCTCCCGTCCAGATTGCGGTCACCCTAAAACAGCAAAATCAAATCAGTGATATATCAGCAACAGAAGAAGAATATCTTATAAAGTGGACAAAATCTTGATTTCAACCAGTATTCTTCATTACCTTAAAAGTGATACATATATTCTCATATCTTTATTATGTATTGTAAAGGCATATGATAACATGATATGATAATATATATGATAATAAAGGTATATGAGCTGATATGAAAATAGAAAATGAAACAAGCATCCATGATACTCATCCATCTATCCATCCATTATCCGCCCGGAGAGCGTAATGTCGCGGGTTCGATCCCCAACCGCGTCATACTAAAAGACGTTAAAATATGGTACTCGTTGGTCCCTGCCTGGCGCTCGGCATTAATGAGTACCACAAGGACTGGTCGGCTCGGAGTATAATGTGTCTGAGTGGGGTATTCATGCCCCACTGCGGCATGGTATCTCAGTGAGCTAGCACTATAAAACCAGCTTTAGACTGGGCTAGTACAAGCAGCTGCACATACACATACACATACACACGCATGCATGTCGTCATATGAGCGAAATATTCTCCAGTACGACGTTAAACCCAATTTCACCTCACCTATCCATCCATTACCTGATAACGATGAAAAATTGTTCTGATCGAAAAGTGAAACATATATTATAGTCCTAGTCCATACTAATTGTAAAGGTGAACAAACCAAATGTTTCAGAATATATTTGAAACAAGTGTTGGGTCATATCTGTGTAGCTTACATGTTTGATGCGATGTAAATAACGCATGAGTAAACATTCAGATTAGTTATTTAAATTGGTCAGTATATAGGATCTCCCCTCTATATCTGCAAGCCCTCACTAGGGCAGAGGGGTAGCCTAGTGGCGTAAGTGTTCATTCATCATGATAAAAGGGCCCGAGTTTTATTCCCTACATGGTCACAGAAAGTGAAGCTAATTCTGGTGTTCCTTTTGTGTGATACTGATGATTGTTACTAAAAATGGTCAAAACTACACTCAGCGTTTGAGGGAGGGAGCTTTGCTATGTACTCGGGTTAAATTGGGGATAATAATAATAAAATGGATAAGGATATATATACCGATAGAGCCATATCACTGAGGAGATGCTCAAAGCGTATCATAGCATATATACATATTTACAGAAGACAGAAACAGTAATGACAGTTAGTGGTAGCGTCGGAAGAGGTATGTATTTAGTCCAGATTTAAACACAGATATGAGAGAAATTTCTATAATGAAGTAGCTGCAGGAAAGAAGGATCGAGCACCGAAAGATTCAGTTTATATTCTGGTACAGTCAAGAGCAGTTGGTCAGCTGGCCGGAGATTTTTAGCAGCCTTGCAGTGGACAAACATATCCTGAAGATAGGGAGGGGCATTGTTGTGAAGAGACTGGTAGACGACGAAAAGGATAGACAGCACTGTGTACTCACCCGTGGAGGGTCAGGGATGGGCATTGCTGTGAGGGAGGCAGCTTTACTGTCACTTGCATACCACCAGTCCAGGAACTGTAGAAAGAACATCCCCACTGACAGCCCCGATGACAACACCATCGCTGCTGCACCTCCACCCATCTTCATCGCCAGACCTAACTTCCCAAAGAGACTGAAACAAAAAATAAACCCTACAGTTGAATTTCATCATTGCTTATGATAAGTGGGCTTAACCTATGTGCCCCAGCAAAGTGTCTTCACTCATTCACCAGTACTGATGACATCATGTAAGGGGCCATGGTGTAGCCTAGTGGTTAAGAGCTTGCTCATCACGCCGAAGACCCAGGTTCGATTCCTCACATGGGTACAATGTGTGAAGCCCATTTCTGGTGTCCCTGCCATGATATTGCTGGAATATTGCTAAAAGCGACGTAAAACTAAACTCACTACAGTCCGTTTGGCTCAATTGCAACTAAATAGTGGTTTAGACCATGCCACCATTAGACCAGACATCGTCAGAGTGGACTCTGACAGCAGTTTTTCACAATCAGAGTTGCATTCTGACGATCCCTCTGATGATGACTTTTGAAATGTCCCCCCGCCAAACGATTTGCACTCCTCTGTTGTAACAAATAGTGAAATGTGTCAATATTTTAATGATAGTTTGTTAAACAACTTTTTCATTTTTATTACATCAACTCACAGAGTTGGTCTGATGTTTTGATTATGATCAGCGTTCCATTGAGTATTATATGTTTATTAGTTTTCGAGTTAGATTGCAATTCAACGGTCCGCGTTTGAGCCAAACAGACTGTAACTCACAACTACTTAAATCGAGTTTTGGTTAATATGTGGGGACAAATGACCATGATTATATTTTCCCCTAATTCTCAGGGACATCACCTTTTCAAAAAGAAACCAGACTCCTTTATCTGTTACTAAACTTACCTAGCCTTGCTCCAGTCGGCCGTGACCGTCCCAACACTCGCGTCAAGGTCAAATTCATCCAGGTGTTGCAGACGAGTGCCAGACAGGTGTAGGAAGGGGGAATGCCACGCCCCTTTCCCCAGTATGTAGCTCACCTGGTACATCAAGCATGTTCCCTCCCAGGTCATATGGACATATGGATACATTGACAGGAACGCCCTGATGACCTGTCCGCCAGGTCTTCTAATCTGGAAGACAATACATGAATGAATGTTTTCACATGAGTGAACTTCAAAACAGGTCTGTTACCTGTCAGTTATCAAGTCTGAACCAAGAATAAGGACTATATTTATGGATATGCAACTTCTTTATTCTGTATAGGTCATGTTTCGACGTAGATTCTAATGTCGTTGTCACCACTTGCTTGCCAAAGACATTAGAATCTATGTCGAAATGTCGCCTATACAGAATAAAGAAGTTGAATATCCATAAAAAAAATCCTTATTCTTCATCTACCCAACTTCTAGAATGCCAAAGGAGTCTGAACAAGTCAAACCAATGGTTGATAGCATGAGTGACATATGGATTTCTGGTAAGAATTCAGTCTCCAGCAACCAATACCTGTCATACAAGGCAACACTCTTAAATGACTTTGCTATGACATTGTATCCCAACATTGAGTGAGTGAGTGAGTTTAATTTTACGCAGCTTTTTAGCAATATGCCAGCAATGTCAAGGCGGGCGACACCAGAAATAGGCTTCACACATTGTACCCATGTGGGGAATCGAACCCAGATCTTCGGCATGACGGGCGAACACTTTAACCACTAGACTACCCCACCACCCCGCCCAACAGAGAGGATTGATGCTGGTCTGGATCAATCCCTCAAGGAATACCTGTGTTGCTTAATTAACTTATCAACTGTGTACTGACTACACACCTGGGATCGCCCATCTGTCCCGTACTTGTGACGCAGATCTTCAAAAAGCTGGTCCAGCTTCGTCTTGATGTACGGCACTGCAACCTGAAATACAATAAACAGTTGGGGATAAACCTTTGTGATTTCAAAATGGTGGGATTTAGTGAGCATGTTGATTATTTGATGCCTGGAAATATAATTTGGAGAGCGCTGCACAAGCCAGCAAAGCCAAAACAATTTAAAAAAGCTAAATAAAAGTTGCATTTTTCTGATATGCATTATATAGAATACAACATACTGCATGCCATGTATTTAAATTTGGGACACGATATTTATCATGTTTACCAAGAAAACATTCACTATATGTTCATATATACTTTTTCAAAAAGCCCAAGTAGATTTCATTGACTTAAATACCATTCAGCAACATTTTTCAGTCAGAAAATACCTCTCGGGTCAGTTGGTTCCAGTTAAATGGTGGTGGTCTGTATATAATCAAGTCTGGACCAGACAATCCAGTGATCAACAGCATGAGCATTGATCTAAGCAACTGAGATATGGTAACGTGTCAACCAAGTCAGCGAGAGTGACCACCCAATCCTGTTAGTCACCTCTTACAACAAGCATGGGTTGCTGAAGACTAATTCTAACCCACATCTTCACAGGTAGCTTTAGAAGGAGTGAGTGTGGTTAAACTAGGCTTGAACAGTATTCCAGGCATATCATGTAAGGTTATGTTGGCTGAAAACCTAAACTGATGTAGGTTTACGATGGTGCTGACATAAAAAGGGCAAACGGAGATGAGAACCTATGATCATAGGTTTCTGGCTTGCCAAAGGGAGATAACTCTGCATAGCTAGATGTTAAACACTGCTTTCAACAGAATTCCAACCATAGCATCATGAGCTTTAAAATGGGTAAAAGATAATGAACACGAAGCAATAATTTTTACTGATTCGTTGTCAGCTGTACAAGCAATTCACTCAGGTGTACAAGGTCCACGCAGTGACATACTATACGACATATTGTATCTTGATACTGTTTTAAATTCCATGCACATCAGCTGTGATATTGTTTGGATTCCTGCACATGTTGGCGTTGCTGGAAACGAAGTAGCTGACACACTTGCTAAGATGGCTTGCAACAGACCACAACCAGATATTCATTCAATTAAGCCCATTCCAAGAGATTACTGGTTTGTCATTTCATCTTCAATAACTGCATCTTGGCAAAATAAATGGGATAATGAAACTACAGGTAGACACATGTACTCTACTTGTCCTGTAGTCAACAAACATTTTAAAATTCGTCAGCGTTGTCGCAGAGATGAAGTTGTTTTAACTCGTCTCAAGCTGGGACATTGTGGATTAAAGGCATATAGAAGTATTTTAGATAAAGACCTATCTCCTCTATGTGAAAGCTGTAACTTACACTGCCCAGAAACAGTTCAGCACTACCTCATTGAATGGCCAGCTCATGAAAACCCATGTAAGGCTCTTAAAGAAACTGTGCTTAACAAAACCCAAAATACTTTTTCAATGAACGCAATACTTGGCGATAACTTAATGAATGGTTGCATACAAAGAGCTGTTTTAGACTTCCTCGTTAAAACGGGTCAGTACGACGTAATTTAACTGAACAAAATTAAAACAGTTTGTTAAGTGTTGGACGCATATAGGCCTTTTACGGCCCAAGGTCGCCCTAAAACCGTATCTACCTACCTACCTAGCATCATGATCATGGCGTATCAGCTTAATGTGGGAATATCAGCTTACGAAGCCCAAAGTGATGCATGTGTCAGACAGTGCTGACAAACCTGGAAATATAACCAGGGCAAACAGATTAGAACCCATCACTGTAGACTTCTGGCTTGATAAAGGGAGACAACTTTGTACAGCTAATTGCTGCACCCACCACTGTCCAAACCATGGCATAAATTCTGCAGGTTGATTCCCTACCAGTAGGAAGACAGAGAGCCAGTGATGTCTGCGGGACAAGCTACCAGATGGGTCAGCAGATGGAACACGCTTCAAGTCATAGAAGTTCTCAGCAAAAGATCCATCTGCAGATCAGTATTGTATTCTGTTAAGTCAAAAATAATTCAAAATATGCCACACATCTCATAATCATGTTTAACAGATAAAAATGTATTTCTTTACAAAAGAATTTCAGCTATGTGATGACGTTCAATTCGATGGATCAAACAATCTTGACTTTGATATCAGGAATATCTATCTATGTAATACAATGACCAAGCCGGCAAGTTTGTCCCCCTCATCATGCTGTTCACCTCTTATGAGAATGATTTATATTACTAAGGTAAAGCCAATTTGAAATATTGAATCTTTCAACACATTCAACATTGTTCAAAGTAGCTGAGTATGCAATGGCTAAAAATGTTTAACCAGCTCATCAACAGATCACATCAAAGGTATATTTTGGTATGACAAACCAATACTCACTGTATTTCTGGAGATGGTAATGCTGAACAATGAAGTCTAAGAAAGCGTACACTTCGTCATAATTTCTCATGAGCCAACCAAACAATGCAGGACGATTTTCTGCAGCTACCTAGAATTGAAAGATGTGACAAAATTGAACAAAATCATGAACACATGATGGAGAAAGAAAAATTGATTTCAAAATTTTGTGTAGCATTCATTAGAATTCTAAGAATTGAGACTCGATTAGTTTCTTTGCCCTATTGATAGCAGGTGCCCCGGGAAACAATGTTGAAGGGGTCGTTGTCAGATATGTACCCCAGGTATGTTTAGGTATACAAAAAAACTACCCTACACAAAAATACAGAAACATACAGTCATACTCCAAACGACAGACAAATCCAAATTCCTCAAATTAAAACCGAAACCAACTGCAAAGTCGTTCCCATTTCACAGATTGAGTGGTATTGTGCATAATGAAATATTCATTACTGAGTGTGCTTGTTTCTTGTATAACCAGTGTATGAAATGAAGCCCGTCCGACTGCCTGAGACGGTCTAGATTTCTAACGGACGGTCTAAATTTACAGCTAGCCAGCCCGATAGGCTGGTAAATTTTTTAGATGTTCCATACATCTGAGTAAATTCACCATACTTGGTGTGGTTAAATCCATTTTGGGCTGGTAACATTTTGAAGTTACCAGCCCTTATGTCTGGCTGGATTTTTGGCTTATTTCACACACTGGTATAAGACAATCTATAGCATTTGACTGCTGGAAATCCTTCCATCAATAAAACACAATCAATAAATCATAGTCCAGAGTTTAATTCGGACTAGATTGTTCGATGACATACACATTGACAGTATGCAGGTATGAGTGTTTTCCAATACTGAAACTTGGGGCACACATAAAGCCTGGTATGATTCATAAAAACACTTTGCTACGTTCCACATCTACATCTAAATAATGTTCGTTCCTTCGTTATTCATAATAATCACAAACCGTTCCTTGTCACATGTAAAACACATGTTTTAGCGCTTCCCTCACTCCTTATGTGGGCGCATGTTCTCGCCATTATACAACCAAGGGAAGTAATTCACTACTAAAAAACGTTCTAACTGCCGTCCGCTAGTGAAAACTTCCAATACGCCTATCTCAAACAATACTATGTATGTATGTATGTATGTCTGTGTGTGTGTGTGTATGTATGTATGTATGTATGTATGTATGTATGTATGTATGTATGTATGTATGTATGTGTGTGTGTGTGTATGTATGTATGTGTGTGTGTATGTATGTATGTATGTATGTATGTATGTATGTATGTATGTATGTATGTATGTATGTATGTATGTATGTATGTATGTATGTATGTATGTGTGTATGTATGTATGTGTGTGTATGTATGTGTGTATGCATGTATGTCTGTGTGTGTATGTATGTATGTATGTATGTATGTATGTATGAATGTTTGTATGTATGTATGTATGTATGTATGTATGTATGTATGTATGTATGTATGAATGTTTGTATGTATGTATGTATGTATGTATGTATGTATGTATGTATGTATGTATGTATGCATTGACTACCTGAGTGGGGTCACTCAATCGCGTGACTGCCTGATCACAGACAGGGAAATTCTGCATGTCACACAAAAACGCGTCTAAACGTGTTATTTATGAAAATAATGAAACAAAATTGCTACAGTCATTGATAGGTGTTCAAGTTATGGATTGACACGAATGAAAACGTAAAAAGAAAACTTTAAATAGTCAAATTTTGACAAAATATGTGCAAAATTTGACGATATTGAACAGCGAATTTCATCTATGTGCATATTTTTCAGAAACTTATGGTTAGTATTTTCCAAAAGCTCATTCATCGCAGATTCATGATCCCGTGTTAATTGAAATGCAAAAAGAAATCAGCAATTTAAAACGTTGGGTTTTGTATGTACCAACATGCTAGGAATCAATTAACGGTATAGTTAATGGTTACATGTTCGGCTAGAATGCACTTTACCGGGCGCAGCCCTCGCTGCTCCCTTTACGATCCTTAGGGTTAGCGTATGCCACCCTTTACGATCCTTAGGGTTAGGTTAGTATGCCACCCTTTACGATCCTTTGGGTTAGGGTTTAGGATTGTTAGGCACCCTTTACAATCCTTAGGGTTAGGGGTTAGAGTTAGGGTTAGGGAACCCCAGCAGCGCTAATTAATCTGAAAAAGTGCAGTACTCCCACATGTTCTAATGTCTATAGCCATGATAACTGTAGACAACATTATACCATACATGACCAACTGATCGATAAGGTAAGTCGTGCTACCAATATACCAACCCTAACTGCGTGTTTCAGTGCTGGTCTAACGGTCACCATCAGACTCTCCTGGGCCAGAACTTCAAATATCGTCGGTCGATCTGTCACACTGGCCGATGTGATGTGTGCGCCGTGCTCGGCCATGACGAAAGACACTTGGCCACTTCGTATCAGCCAATATACTTTTAGTGTTACAAGAATACGGACAAGCTCATCTTCATTAATCTGTTCATTCACACACTCCCCATTGCAAAATAAAGATTGTCACGACCTACTCATGGTAATTGTCTATTCATTGACTATGTAGCTACATTTTGAAATGCTGTGCAAACGGATTTCCAAATGAGTTCTTGAAACAATACACACGATCAAGATGCAAAATTCCAATAACTTTCGGTCCCACGGAACCTGTTAGGTCAAAGGTCAGATGTAGTTGAAGGTCAACGCGCAAGCGCTCTGGAGGAAAATTTAGCCGGAGGTAGGTTTCCAAATCGGAATAATCCTTTTGCATATTTTACATTCTGGGACCATGACAATATTTTTATGAATGATATGTAACCTTAAGTTACCAGTTTCGTCACGATTTCAATCCATATATATTTATTCATTGCGGACTTACTGATTGCGGAACCGGTTATCGAATCTCTGTTGTGAGTCCACTTCCGGTTTGATGACGGTGTCCTGTAAAATTAACATTTAGTCAGTACATTTGTGTGTGTGTTTTTACCTCACAGAGTTGAGAGTCGTTTCTGGGGTATGTAATTCATCGTGATTTTGCATTAGCTATTATTTCATCGGCTTTGACCTATTTCAACTTAGAACGATTGCACTGTTTCTGTCTTGTCACCCACAAATTGTCCCAATCAGTCAGACACACCCCCAATTAGACAGTTGAATTCTTCATACTTCGATTTTTAATGTCCTGTGAACCTCAATGCTAAGAAAATAAGGTGCAACGGTTAGGACGGTTGCACATCGTTATTACTGATACACTTTGAGAATTAACTACATGCTTATAAAATGATTACCCCAATCACAAACGTGATAAACATCACATAGCATATTGCTTTCAATCTAACATTTGAATGCGCCTACACTGCCTCTGCCAAGCTATTATATGTAACCAAACGACTCGACTTCTGTATGAATACATATGTGAGCAACATTATATTTAATTGAAAGTAGAAGACTTGTATTCACATTTGTTGCGAGTACCAATACTTGTGTGTCTGTCCACTTATTAATCATCCTTGGTAGCACATATGTATCCCGGTGTCAGGGGTTTTCGACGATGTAAGACAAAAACGTAATTTTTCTCTGTAATAATACTAATATCATTTAAAGTTTTTATTTTACTAACCTCAAGTGATAAAGGATATATTCATCTATTTCACACAAAAATATCAAGTGTTTCCTACAAAAATAGCGTTGATGACATCGTATCGTCGAAACAGTGGCCACTCATAACATCCGGGTATTTTGTATGGGTTTTCGACGATGAGCCATACTTTTTGCTCTGCACTGCGAGGGAGTGTTGTGGTCACGTGGCTTCCTATTTATATATTACCTGCCACCAGCAGACGACTGATCTTACTGAATTTTCGCTTGCTATTTTTTGTTATAAAGGCAACTGATTTTGCATCTAAAGTGGTATTAACGATCTCGGGTAAATAATATTGATGTTTGTTTGCTTTTTATATAACTTTACTTCCCGATTTCCATTGTCAATAGAACTTCTCATGACAGCGACTGGGCACCCGCCCTACCAGTGAAACTGTTTGTGCACTCCGATTGCACTCATACTCACCCAATATAGCGTGAGCAATGTAATCGTCGAAATCACCAGAACGTCGAATTCAGCTCGTGTTGGGATATCCATATACATTCCTGTCTTAAAGCTTATTTTTTACCGAGGTCAGTTATCCAGAATTCTTGTTAATTTTTCCAAAATGCAAGACAGTATCAACATATGTTAAAATCTATTTTCCAAAAATATTGTTGACAGTTTGACCTGTATAAAGGTAAATTTCAGCTCCAGTTCTATCCATGTCTACCAATATTTCACATCCTCAACAATGCTTCTGTCACTATCTTTACCTCACAGTGTTACATTTACAACATCACAATTTAAAATAGAAATCATCGTGCAGAAGCACAATGAAACTCATTATAGAACATTTCTCTCTGTTTTTTTCACCAATGAAGTTACAAATATATAACTGTTCCATTTAATAAATATCAAATTGATTTGTAGGTCAGGAGCAATTGCTTGGAGAACAATCCTTTATTCCATCTGCATCCAACAAGCTATTGATATGCTGAAGATCATGAAACAATCTATTCTTCTCCCTGTTAAGACAAACCCGTGAAGATATGGGTTAGATTAGGTCTTCATCAACCCATGCTTGTTGTAAGAGGCGACTAACGGGATCGGGTGGTCAGGCCTGCTTCCTTGGTTGTCAGACTCATGTCATCGTATCCCAGTTGCATAGATCGATGCTCATGCTGTTGATCACTGGATTGTCTGGTTTAGATTTGATTGTTTACAGACTGCCACCATATAGCTGGAATATTGCCGAGTGCAGCTAAAACCAAAACCCTGTTAAGACAAGAAAATTGGTGTTTGGCTATTTTCCACAAGGCAGACGATTAATGTATTTTTTACCCCAGCCAACAAACTTTCCCATTTCTGAAGAAACTGCACTGAAAAAGTGTGTTTCACCAAAGTGATTACCTATGATGGTGACACACCTGTGCCTGGTGTGATGATTTTCTCTTCCCTTTTCAGGTGTACAAGTAAAAAACCTCCAAGATGACTGATTCCAAATATTTCACAACCACCAAGAAAGGTAAGAAAAAATGTACACTTTTGTAATGTAGGTATCATAGTGTGAGATTTCTGTACATTTTCTCAACACCAATTTTTTTATTATTAAGTAAAGTTAAGAGTTCTTTTATCCATCTGTAAATCAGATATTTCCACAAAGAAGATAAATATATTTTTGCATTGTTACTTGTATAACAGGTGAGATATTTGAGCTGAAGGCCGAGCTCAACTCCGACAAGAAGGAGAAGAAGAAGGAGGCTGTAAAGAAGGTCATCGCCAGCATGACTGTGGGCAAGGATGTCAGGTAGGTCTGACACAAATCTGTAACCTGTGTCTGTCTTAAGTGGTGGGGTAGTCTAGTGGTTAAAGTCTTCACTTGTCACGCTGAAGACCTGGGTTCTAATATGGGTACAATGTGTGAAGCCCATTTCTGGTGTCCCCACGCCATGATATTGCTGGAATATTGCTAAAAGCGATGTGAAACCATCCTCACTCACTCACAAGAGGTGACTACATTTATATGACGAGGTGGTCTGACTTTGCACTTTGTAATTGTACCCTGAGTGTGACATTGCTGATAACAGGACTGTCTTTTGCTGAGTACATTGGTTAAGGACTGTCATCGTATTGCTGGAATATTCCTGAGTGCTGCATTTAACACCAGTCAGTGTTGTCATAGTAATCTGTGAGTGTAGAAATATAAACAATGGTGCTATGTATTCTGATGGACAAATAGATCGCCGGGATAGAAATAGCCACAAGTTCAGTTGTCTTGAGTGGAATTCAGAGAAAAGACTTCAATGCTTTAACCCAAATCTAGTTATTTAACAAAAGTGACCAGTCCAAAATGAACTGCAGAGCAATAGTTTCTACTAAGTACGTTATGATTGTCCAAGCATGGCACCTAAACATATGAAGGCCACACTGAATTTACTGTATCCTTTGATCCATAATGAATTAAGTTAAAACAGTGGATCTGTTTGCAACATTTCCTCAGTAATTGACTAGGAACTTACAGACTTATTCCAGCATCCATGTAAGTATGACAACACAGGGTGATGTGAGAGAAATGTTTCAGTGCTCTGTTCCCGGACGTGGTCAACTGTATGCAGACCGACAATCTGGAGCTGAAGAAGCTGGTCTACCTGTACCTGATGAACTACGCCAAGAGTCAGCCAGATATGGCCATCATGGCCGTCAACACGTTTGTCAAGGTACTTACAGTTTGCCATCTTCCACAGATTCGTACATCCCTTCTTAGTATGAATCTTAATTTCAGGAAACCCGTGAAAATCTGGGTTAAAATTGGTCTTCAGTCATAAGAGGGGACTAATGGGATTGGGTGGTCAGGCTCGCTGACATGCCATCGCATTCCAGTTGCAAAGAACAATCTCATGATGCTGCTCACTGGATTGTCTGGTCCGGACACGATTATTTACAGACCGCCGCCATATAGCTGGAATATTGCTGAGTGTGGCGTAAAATTAAACTCACTCACTCCTTACATGAGTAAATGTGCTTTTGCAGGAAACCCGTGACAAACTGAGTTAAATTTACATAAAATTGGTCTTCAGTAACCCATGCTTGTCGTAAGAGGCGACTAATGGGATTGGGTGGTTAGGTCGTTAGGCTTGGACTTGGTTGATACACATGTCATCGCATCCCAATTACAAAGAACAATCTCATGATGCAGCTCACTGGATTGTCTGGTCCAGACACGATTATTTAAAGACTGCTGCCATATTGCTTGAATATTGCTAATTGTGGCGTTAAACAACCATCCAACCTGTTCTGGTCATATGAGGTTGTCAGACTCTCTAACATTGTGACCCGTGAAGGTCCGGGTTAGCATTGGTCTTCAGTAACCCATGCTTGTTGGAAGAGGCGACTAACGGGATCGGGTGGTCAGGCTCGCTTACTTGGTTGACACGTGTCATCGGTTCCTAATTGCATAGATCGATGCTCATGATGTTGATCACTGGATTGTCTGGTCCAGACTCGATTATATACAGACCGCCTTCATATAGCTGGAATATTGCTGAGTGGCGTAAAACTAAACTCACTCACTCACTCACTGACATTGTAGATCGCATTTTATTGTTCCTTGACAGTGTTTATTAGGTAATAACTCGATTGTTTTGTCCAACAGGACTGTGAGGACTCAAACCCTCTGATCCGGGCCCTGGCGGTGCGGACAATGGGGTGTATCAGAGTGGACAAGATCACTGAGTACCTGTGTGAGCCCCTGCGCAAGTGTCTCAAGGACGAGGATCCCTATGTGAGGAAGACTGCTGCGGTGTGCGTCGCCAAACTCCATGACATCAACGCCCAGCTGGTGGAGGACCAGGGCTTCCTTGACCTCCTTCGTGACCTCCTCTCGGACTCCAACCCTATGGTAGGTACCCGTGAAGGTCTGGGTTAGAATTAACCTTCAGTAACCCATGCTTGTCGTAAGAGGTGACTAACGGGAACGGGTGGTCAGGCTCGCTGGCTTGGTTGACACATGTCATCGGTTTCCTATTGCGCAGATCGATGATCATGCTGTTGATCACTGTATTGTCTGGTCCAGACTCGATTGTTTACAGACTGCCGCCATATAGCTGGAATATTGCTGAGTGCGGCATTAAACAAGAAACAAACAAACAAACAAAAAGAGATTCAGCAGTAGTTAATCAATTTTGTTTTGTAATAGTATCATACCCTATAATAACATCATACCCTAATACGACCGCCTCCGTGGTGTAGTGGTTAGAGTGTCCGCCCGGAGAGCGGATGGTCGCGGGTTCGATCCCCGACCGCGTCATACCAAAATACGTTAAAATATGGTACTTGTTGGTCCCTGCCTGGCGTTCGGCATTAATTGGTACAACCAGGACTGGTCGGCTCGGAGTCAGTATAATGTGTCTGAGTGGGGTATCCATGCTTCACTGCGGCATGGTATCTCAGTGGGCTAGCATTATAAAACCAGCGTCAGTTTGGGCTAGTACAAGCAGCCGCACATATACACACACACACATGCACGTCGTCATATGAGCGAAATATTCTCAAGCACGACGTTAAACCCAATTTCACCTCACCTCACCTCATACCCTTATACACTGCTGTCAAAGAGACATACAAGGATTCCTTTGTTCTGCCAACTGACTCATGCTGTTCTGCCAGGTTGTAGCTAACGCTGTTGCCGCAATCTCCGAGATCCTGGATGCCTCACCCTCGGCTCACCAGGTGCTTGAGATGAACTCTGGCACCATCAACAAGCTCCTCACAGCTCTTAACGAGTGCACAGAGTAAGTGGCCTGTATTATCAAGGCAGATTTTATCAAACATGTTAAAACCAATCACCAGAACTTGAGGAAACTTCCAGGCTTTGAATACAGAGAGAAGTCATACCCTGTTAAACATGATATAGATATTAGTGATACCCTGATATTTATATTAATAATAGTTGTGTGTCACACCCAATATTTCCTCATATGCTGATAATGATTCCGTATCATACCCAGAAAACAATGTTGAATTATTTGCTGTTAAAGATAATGAATCAGATGATATTTTCTGATTCAACTTCCCATAATTTTCATTGTGTAATAATGGTTATCATTTGGACTATAAATTCACACCGTTTTAGCAACAAATCAGTGCAGACTTTGCCCATTGAGATAATTGTATTGGCACATTAATACATAACACTATCAGGAAAATAGTCCATCATAATCTGACCTCTGGTCATTACCATGGAGGAGCCAATCACGTTGCTTGGATTTCACGTCACACATTTGACAGCACTTATCATGTTGTGTTTCTCAGCCTCAGGTGTGTAAGAATGTTTTCTTGTGTTTCAGGTGGGGTCAGGTGTTTATCTTGGATTCCATCTCCAACTATACACCAAATGATGACAAAGAAGCCCAGAGGTGAGGACAGTGCTCCGAGTTTACTCAAGGTCGTCTGTGTGTTTGGCCGTCATCTATAACTTCTGATAATTGTACTTGTTCATGTTGATTGGAACATTATACAAACAGTAAACTACAATTATAACAAACATCCATATAATGAAATCAATGAACACATGTAACACATTTTATATTTGGGATTATAGTTTCTCAGTAAAGTATAGATTCCAGTACTTTTGTTGAGTTGAGACCCATCCGGAATTTGACTCCACACATCAGTCAGGCACCTAATCGCCTGCTCACAAAGTCAGCCGCCCCACTGACTCAGCCACTGCGGCTTCCACAAAGTCTGCAGCACATTCCACTGCAACTCTCAAAACATGCGAGTCAAATATTAACTTCCAGTTGGAGTCAACCATTCAGATATTGGAAACTAGTTTCATGATCATATGATTGTCAAAGAAATATATGCTCCGGTTGCTTCCTTGGAAGTAGACTCAGTTCAGTTGTCCGGGTTCGATTCCCCACATGGGCACAATGTGTTAAGCCCATTTCTGGTGTCCCCCGCCGTGATATTGCTGGAAAATTGCTAAAAGCGGCGTAAAACTAAACTCAGTCAGTCAGTCTGTTCAGTTGTCTGAACACATTGACCTTCATTACTGCTTTTATGTCAAATTCTGAACCTTGAACAGTTTTATTCCATGTTTTATGTTTAGTCAGTGCAATGGTTGTTGATGTAAACAAGCAATCCCTGTTTTACTTGACAGTGTGTGTGAGAGAGTGTCTCCCCGCCTGGCACACGCCAACGCAGCTGTGGTTCTGTCGGCTGTCAAGGTAAGCACAGCTGTCTCTCTATTGTCTTGAACCTCAGTGGTTCTGTCGGCTGTCAAGGTAAGCACAGCTGTCTCTCTATTGTCTTGAACCTCAGTGGTTCAGTCCTTGGCCATGAAGATCTGGGTTAGAAATGATCTTCAGTAACCCATGCTTGTCGTAAGAGGCAATTGACGAGATTGGGTGGTCAGGCTTGCTGATTTGGTTGACACATGTCATCATATCCCAATTGCATAGATCGATAAGATCGATAAGGCATGGCTTCTCGGTTCGCCAGAACTATAACTTCAAATAATTACAATCTGTCACACCCACTAACATGCACATGCATACACATCATTTTGCAACCTACTACCCAACTCCATCACTGCTGCTTGGTGGTGACATTATACAATTATAGACTCTTGTAGAGGTGGATATCGGTTTTTATTGACCTGAGTAAAACAATATCGACTGAGCTTGCGAGGTCGATATTGTTTTTCTCAGGTCAATAAAAACCGATATCGACCTCTACAAGAGTCTATAATTGTTTTATTATATAATGAAAGAGAAACGGGTTTTAACATAAACTTTTAATGCACACACTGTGCCATCTATCCGAGTGATCTGATTGGCTGAAAAGCGGGGGAAGCCCCTTCGTACGGGATTCCTTGTCTATTTTTAGTAACCCAAGTCAATATTGTAATTTATCAGAAAACTCAAGTCAATATCGTGTTTTGTAGTCAATCATGTGACTGTCTTTTGACCAATCGTGGTACAGGAAAAATGCTACCTATATAATAATGAGGCATGTCGGTTTTGGTGCAGGTGATCATGAAGTATATCGAGATGCTGGACCCCCACAGTGACTATGTGACCCTGCTGGTGAAGAAGCTGTCCCCACCCCTCGTCACCCTCCTGTCTGCTGAGCCCGAGATACAATATGTCGCCCTCCGAAACATCAACCTCATTGTGCAGAAGAGGTGAGTGTTGGTCGTGACTCTTTGGTTTTGCATCAGCTTCTTTTGAATTGTGGGGCATGGTGTAGCCCAGGGTGCTTTTGTACAAAACAGCCATTAGCACTAAGACTACCTTAAGTCTGTGGTAATTGTCCGCTTGTCACGCTGAAGACCCAGGTTCGATTCCCCACATGGGTACAATGTGTGAAGCCCATTTATGCTGTTCTCTGCCGTGATACTGCTGGAATATGGCTAAAAGTGGCGTAAAACTAAACTCCTCCCTCACTTTGTTACGGTATGGAAGTTTCGTCACCTTGGTACTAGCATCCAGTAGTCTAATTCACAGCTCAGAGTTATGCCCCTTGGGCATCCAGCAACCTAATAATATTTGGAAAAAAAATTCCCTTCACCCAAAGTATGGCTTTGTAGAAGTGACTTGGATTTCACTGATAACTGGACCCATGGAGAGGACAAGGCTTTAATGATCGGTTTGATTGTTGCAAGTCAGTGTTCTCTTAATGTAGGACCATGTTCAATTAACACCTGAAGGCTGGCGTCAAGTGCAAGATATAAACATCTGTGAGAGTGCCCCGCACTTTAAAGGGATACGCTTCTATACCTGATCTCCATGTGTGTTGCAGGGGAGACATCTTGAAGAATGAGATGAAGGTGTTCTTCGTGAAGTACAACGACCCGATCTACGTGAAGCTGGAGAAACTGGACATCATGATCAGACTGACCAACCAGGGCAACATCGCACAGGTTCTGGCGGAACTCAAGGAGTAAGTTCATAAGTCTGCAGTCTTAGATGCTTACATACTGATCAGTCAGTCTCTGTGAAGGTTTCCTGAGATGGGTTCGCCCCTTACAGGGCAGTGGGGCTCAGTGGCTTGGGCCCAGTATATGTTGTATATCTTTAGTATTGACTAATTAAAGAGTAGGAGCCAGTTGAGCTAAATGGTCATGTCACAAATTTATTGAAGTGAGTTGCATTTTTATTTCAATGTCAAAGGTTGCAGACTGTCAAGGTCATCCATACCTACCTGTGAAACTTTAGATTACCATTCAATATACTTTGGCTGTCAACCAGTCAAAAGTCTTATATATCTAATGGATAATGATAAGAAATATGACTATTATATCACCATTGGTGCCATTAAACGGCCTCAGGAGTTTCCTAATGTTACTATTCGAACAAGGACATATTTTTACATAAAACTATGCCCACTGCACTCCCCATGGGTGAATAGTGCTGAAACCCATTGCACATAGTGATGCTAAGACTACGATTACTGTAAGCTTATGTGGAGCACGGTGGTGTAGTGGTTAGCATGCTGGCCTCTCACGCCAAAGGCCCGGGTTCGAATCCCGGTGGGGACACCAAAATTTGTGACCTGGGTCTCATACTGTGTTGTGTCCCTGGGCAAGGCACTTCGTCCACATTGCACTCAGTCCACCCAGCTGTTCAATGGGTACCTGAGAAGCGGATGTATGGACCTATACGGTCGCGCGAAGCTCTTAGTAGCAGCTTTGAAAGTACAATTCCGTCAGGGTAATAATGTAACGCCAGAGAGCAGCATCGTGTTGGATTCTAGGCGCAAAAATTAGCATTATTATATTATTATTATGTTAAAGTATGGAGGTTAGGGTTGTCGTAGCATTAAGATCACTTTGTGGGACTGGGTCCTGATTCTTTAGGGGAGGATGAGAAATGTATGACATGTGATTGTGATGGAAGTGTGACCTGATCATGGGGTGTTTGTCAGGTACGCATACAGAGGTAGATGGGACTTTGTGAGGAAGTCTGTGCGAGCCATCGGCCGTTGTGCCATCAAAGTGGAGCAGGCTGCTGAACGCTGTGTGAGCACGCTCCTTGACCTGATCCAGACAAAGGTCAACTATGTTGTGCAGGAGGCCATCGTCGTTATAAAGGTCAGTAACTGAACAATGAATGAGTGAGTGAGTTTGGTTTTACGCCGCTTTTAGCAAAATTCCAGCAATATTATGGGGAAAGACACGAGAAATGAGTTTCACACATTGTACCCATGTGGGGAATCGAACCCAGGCCTTTGGTGTGACGAGCAAACGCATTAACCACTAGGCTACCCAGCCGCCCCAGTAACTGAACAAGGAAAACGATGAAGCATGTTAATAACATGGTGTTACCTGAGACAAGAGTATTGAAATATTGCAATAGTACATGCCATGTACATGTATCATTTAGAACCCATGAAGGTCTGGGTTAGAATGAGCCTTCAGTAACCCATGCTTGTTGAAGAGGCCACTAACGGGTTGGGTGGTCAGGCTCACTGACTTGGCTGGCACATGTCATCGATTCCCAATTGCACAGATCAATGCTCATGCTGTTGATCACTGGATTGTCTGGTCCAGACTCTATTATTTACAGACAGATAGCTGGAATATTGCTGACTCTTGGTGAAACTAACTCCACTCCCCTCACTCACTACTGTAAGATTTAGAGGATTATAACTCATCAATGGGGAGGTGTCTGTCGGGGGCTGAGGGAGATGTTTGTGGGTGTGGCTGGGTGGGTTCTAGAGTTCATTGAGCGAGTGAATGGATGGGTAGGTGGGTTGTCTTTCAGGCGGCCGAGCAAGGAAGTGTGTGAATAGGTGAGTGGGTGAGTGAGTGAGTGTGTTGGGTTTAACACTGTTTGGAACAGTATTCCAATTATATCATTGTGTCGGCTTAATGGTGCTGGAATACCCAAGGAGATGCAAGTATAGATTCAGACATTTGTCTCTTTTGTGATACAGAAGAGCACAGGTATGGTGCAAACCAACCAACATGCTTGGAGCAAACTGGGAATTGAACCCAGGATTGTAGGTTTCAGACATGTCAGTTCTACAAAGTGCCTTAGACAGCTGTGCCACCTTTGTGATGGAAGAAGTGTGAAGGTTTAAAAATAGCCAGTTTAATGAGATTGTGTTTAGTTTGTGTTAATGTTTGGTTGTCTTCTCTCCAGGATATTTTCCGTAAATACCCCAACAAGTATGAGAGCATCATCGCCACTCTGTGTGAAAACCTGGACACACTGGATGAACCTGAAGCAAGGTGAGTGACATTAATTAAGACACATCAATTGCGAAGGATACCACTGTTACCATCTTATCTTTTGTGTGATATCATTGTGGGCTGTATGATGTCACTCTGTGCTGTATGATGTCACTCTGCTGTATGTCACTGTGATGCATGTCACTCTGTTGTATGATATCACACTGTGTTGTACATCGCTGTGCTGCATGATATCACTCTGTTGTATGATATCACACTGTTGTATATCGCTGTGATATCCCTCTGTTGTATGATATCACACTGTTGTATATCACTGCTGCACTGAGGGATTAAGGGTAGCCTAGTGGTTAAAGCGTTGGCTCGTCAAGCGAAGACCCGGGTTCGAATCCCCACATGGGCACAATGTGTGAAGCCCATTTCTGGTGTCCCCACCGCGTGATGTTGCTGGAATATTGCATGATATCACTCTGTTATATGATATTACACTGTGTTGTATATCACTGTGCTGCATGATATCACTGTGTTGTATATCACTCTGCACTGTATTATGTCACTCTGTGCTGTATGATACCATTGCACTGTATGATATCACTGCTGTATGATGTCACTCTGCACTGTATGATGTCACTCTGTGCTGTATGATGTCACTGCACTGTATGATACCACTCAGTGCTGTATATCACTGCTGCATGATGTCACTCTGCACTGTATGATGTCACTCTGTGCTGTATGATGTCACTGCACTGTATGATACCACTCAGTGCTGTATATCACTGCTGCATGATGTCACTCTGCACTGTATATGATGTCACTCTGTGCTGCATGATATCACACTGTTGTATGATATTACACTGTGTTGTATATCACTGTGCTGCATGATATCACTGTGAGGTATATCACTCTGCACTGTATGATGTCACTGCACTGTATGATACCATTGCACTGTATGATGTCACTGCTGTATGATGTCACTCTGCACTGTATGATGTCACTTTGTGCTGTATGATGTCACTGCAATGTATGATACCACTCAGTGCTGTATATCACTGCTGCATGTCACTCTGCACTTTGTATGATGTCACTCTGTGCTGCATGATATCACACTGTTGTATAATATCACTCTGCTGTATATCTCTCTGTTGTATGATATCACTCTGCACTGTATGATATCACTCAGTGCTGTGTGTCATGCTGTTGATCACTGCCAAATTGACCGCCGCCATATACAGTAAAACCTGTCTAAAAGCCGCACCCCACGGACCCGAAATAAAATGCTGGTTTAGACAGGGTGCCGGATTAGACATTAATGATCATAATATCGATGTAAAATGGCGGAGCAAAATTTTATACTGGTTTTGACAGTGTGCCGGATTAGACAGGTGCGGTGTTGGCAGGTTTCACTGTAGCTGGAATATTGCTGAGTCGCGATTGTAAAACTAAACTCACTCACTCAGTGCTGTGTGATAGCACTCAGTGCGCATGATATCACTCTGCTCTATGATATACGGAGCATTATCACTCCAGTGCTGTATGATATCACTCTTTCCAGTGCGATGATATCACCTTTTATTACTCGCCCATGGAAGATACTGCAGTGTAATATTTTACGTGGCAATATTACACTAGTGTAATACCACAAGACATATGGCGTCATAATGGTTACAGTTATGACATCCACAATATTAATGCCTGTCGCGAAAATGGTAATAGACCTTGCTTGACTCGAGGAAAATTGATATGAGTGTCATCACACTGTAATAGTCTACAGGCAATTTCTTTCAATTTATGTAATAAAGTTGCTTTTCATTTCGTTTGATACCAAATCATTAACTCCTTTGAGAGGCATCTTAGAAGATATATAGGTGAAGGAAAACCAAGTTCTATGGATAGTCAACTTCTTTATTGCAATGAGTAACTTCGTTGATTAAAATTGGTATTACACTGAAGGTCGCTTAGTATCTTCTATGTGCATAATTTCAGGGCATCCATGATCTGGATTATTGGAGAGTATGCTGAACGCATATTGACAATGCTGATGAGCTGCTTGAGAGCTTCCTGGAGGGATTCCAGGATGAAAACGCACAGGTAACAACCCCAGTAGTTAAAACAGTCCCAATGTCCACCATTAAAAGTTAGTGTTGCATGTGTTTTGGGTAGCTATGAATGAAAAAAAAAGAACCAAATTGTGCTGGGTTCTGTGTAGTCTTTTGAGAACAAATATCAGTACATATCATGAACATTATCTCATAGCAAGGGGTGAACCCAAAACATTTAATGATTCTTTCTTTTCCTGACAGAAGACTTTGTAATTCCTTCTGATCTTCGATCCTGTGACACAGAACCCAACTGTCCTTACTCGCCTTGGTCACCCCTGTCCTCTTTTTGTTAATGGAACTCTCGCTTGAATCAATCTATCAGCTTTTTCCTCTAATTCATCTCAATGCATATATCTGGAGTGTAGATATTGCCAGTGTAAGAAAGAAAGCCCGTCCCAACGTCCGAGGAGCGGGTGAATTTTGTGGAGGACGGGTTAAAAAATATCTAGTCAGTCCTCATGTCGGGTCAATATTAGCAAACCAATGACATATATATAATGATTATAACCTTTTTGAATATTTACTGCCGAAGGTGTTTTATTTATGTTTGGAGGACAGGCTAGCTTTTGGCAGGACTTGTAAATAATTTGACCTGCCAGTCCTGTGGACAGGCTAGATTTTCTACATCTTTCCTACACTGATATTGCCCGTGTGAGAGCCTCCCTCCCTGTTGTAAATGTGTTGCTGTGTTGCTGTTGTAGGTTCAGCTGCAGCTGTTGACAGCTATAGTGAAGCTGTTCTTGAAGAGACCAACAGACACCCAGGAGCTGGTGCAGCAAGTGCTCCAGTCTGGCCACACAGGTGAGGTGGAACATCTTTGTTTGTTTGTTGTTTAATGCTGCACTCAGCAATATTCCAGATTTATGCCGGCAGTATGCAAATGGTTGAGTCTGACCAGACAATCCAGTGGTCAACAGCATGAGCATCGATCTTATGCAGTTGCAATACAATGACATGTGTCAACCAAGTCAGCAAGTCTGACCACCAGATCCTGTTAGTTAAGCCTCTTGCGACAAGCATGGGTTGCAGAAGACCAATTCTAACCCGGATCTTCACGAGTCAGGTGTAACATCAGTTGTTTGTATATCAAATAAGCAATGCCATTGAACCAATCAAAGCACAGTAGACTACAGTTATGAGTTCATAATCACCTCTAAGGACCACTAATTTTAGTTTCTTATAATTGTAGTTTGTTTCATGCATTTTCAACTAAAGTAGATCTTGTTTCTAGAACCAAGAACAGTATGTTATATCTGTGTTTATTATGGACATGCTTTGAATCACTTCTTCAATGGTCCTTCATACCATTGAGAATAAGATAAAGTATGGGAAATGGGCTCAGTTTGAGATGAAGAGTCCTTTGCGTTTCTGGTTGGTGAGTGTTTTACTTTGTGTTTTCAGGATAGTGACAACCCCTGATCTTAAGTGACCCGTGGTTACATCTACTGGCTTCGCTGCTGTCCACGGACCCTGCTGCAGCCAAGGAGGTGGTCCTGGCGGAGAAGCCTCTCATCTCAGAGGAAACTGACCTGATTGAACCTACACTCCTTGACGAGCTCATCTGTCACATCTCCAGCCTGGCTTCAGTCTATCACAAGCCTCCAAATGCATTTGTAGAGGGCGCGGCAAGGATACAGGCTCTCACTGCCACCACGGTCACAGTCGTAAGTACCCATTGTCCAATTCATAGCAATTCCAAGCTTGAATAGATAGTCAGACTCTGTGACTTCATTGATTGCTTATCACTGTATGCCATTAGTTTAAAATTGTTGTTAGTATCTATCACTGGAGAGGCTGGTGCAGTCACATGTAGCATGTATAATGCTCAGGGTGGTGACACGGCTCGGATATACCTCCTTATATTCATTACCACTCTCTCAGTTACTGTGGATGTGTATACCTCTTGCGGTCGCGGTAGCCTAGTGGTTAAAGCGTTGGCTTATGTCACGAAGACCGGGTTCTCAGACTCCCACATGGTTACAATGTGTGAAGCCCATTTCTGGTGTCCCCTGCCGTGATGTTGCTGGAATATTGCTAAGAGCGGCGTAAAACCAAAACTCAGTCAGTATACCTGCGGGGCGGTGGGGTAGCCTAGTGGTTAAAGCATTCGGTGGTATGCACTCTCACTGTATACCTGCAAGTAATGGAGACTGCACCAGTGTTTGATGTTATGAGCATCTTACAACGGGCATGTGTTGTTGGCAGCTTATTTGACCACATGATTTGGCCACAGTTGTGAGGTTGCCAAAGTACACAGTGCAGAGTTACGTCCCTTGGAAACATCTAAACCTAAATCTGTTCAAAACTCGGTTCGTTCTGACTATAGCCTTCCAATATCAAGCTGACACATTGGGATATACGTTGAGTACTGTTAAAGTAGCATTACACACAACTCGCTCTCTCCACACGCACGCACGCACGCGCGCACACACACACAATACGCACGCGCCCGCACACTCACACACAGAAATACAGACATGGACACACAGACAAACAAACAGAAACATACACAAAGAGAGACACACACACATATTCACCATGTTTGTGTAATAAACTTGAGCATCATGTTAACCCCTCCCACCCTCTTCCTGCTCTACGAAGCGGTTCTCACAGGTGGTGGGTAACAAAGTGGTTAAGGCGTTACCCCTCCATACATAACACATACCGGATTCATACAGGTTCGATTCCCCACATGGTACAATGTGTGAATTCCCATTTCTTGTGTCCCCCATGCCATGATATTGCTGGAATATTGCTAAAAGTGGCGTAAAACTAAACTCACTCACTCACTCCTGCTCTACAGTGGTAATCTGGGTGAAGAGGTGCCAGGCGACACACCCAGCCAGCAGGCGGCTGCTGTTCCCCAGGCGACTGTCATCCCTGGAGCAGACTCCCTCATCGGCGACCTCCTGGACATGGACCTGGACATGGACCTGGGCGGCCCCACACAGTACCAGCAGCAACAACAGCAGCAGATGTTCACCACACCAGCACAGCAGATCTCCACATCCAATATGGACTTCCTCGGGGAAGGTCTGGACAGTCTGGTGAGTAGACGCTGTTGTGACAGGATATAGGTACACGCTGTTGTTTAAGTGTAGTTAGACTAGACGCTGTTGTGACAGGATATAGGTACACGCTGTTGTTTAAGTGTAGTTAGACTAGACGCTGTTGTGACAGGATATAGGTACACGCTGTTGTTTAAGTGTAGTTAGACTAGACGCTGTTGTGAGAGGATATAGGTACACGCTGTTGTTTAAAGTGTAGTTAGACTAGACGCTGTTGTGAGAGGATATAGGTACACGCTGTTGTTTAAGTGTAGTTAGACTAGACGCTGTTGTGACAGGATATAGGTACACGCTGTTGTTTAAGTGTAGTTAGACTAGACGCTGTTGTGAGAGGATATAGGTACACGCTGTTGTTTAAGTGTAGTTAGACTAGACGCTGTTGTGACAAGTGTAGTGCATTGTAGGGGCAGCCATCTTGATCTTCTGAGACCAATACAGTTGTGTTTTTCAATCTGTCAACCCAATTCAGTTTTAATGCAAACTTTCAGTAACTTTTAGGTAAGGACTTTCATTCTGTATGGTTAGTTTAACAGAGATTTGTCCTACAGTTCAATTTGGGAAGTAGAAAATCTGTTTATTGATTCTAATGAATGAAAAATATATCTTTTTACGTGGCATTTTATAACAAGGAAACTGTTACATAGACATCCTTACCAGTGATAATACCAAACTCTGATCAGTTTATTCTGACACGCAGGAAGCCCAGTTGTGATGTTCCCTGCCGTGATATCTCTGGGATATTGCAAAAAACGGCATTAAGACTGTACCTTCACTCAGTCACTCACTCACTTACATACTGATACGACCGCCTCCGTTTTGTAGTTGTAAGAGCATCCGCCCTGAGAGCGGAAGGTCGCGGGTTCCATCCCCGACCACGTCATACCAAAAGACGTTAAAATATGGTACTTGTTGGTCCCTGCCTGGCTCTCGGCATTAATGGGTACAACAAGGACTGGTCGGCTCGGAGTCAGTATAATGTGTCTGAGTGGGGTATTCATGCTTCACTGCGGTATGGTATCTCAGTGGGCTAGCCCTATAAAACCAGCTTAAGTCTGGGCTAGTACAAGCAGACGCACATACACATACACACGCATGCACGTCGTCATATGAGCGAAATATTCTCAAGCACAACGTTAAACCCAATTTCACCTCACCTCCCTCATACTGATACACTATTTTACAAAGGTAAAAAGTAAAAGATGTTAGGACAAACCTTACGACTTTCTGAGAGCACTTTATTTCAAATAATATGTCAGTGGGCAACCATACTGTGTCACTATTTGTACTTGCATCCACTGGAGACTAGATTAGTAGATATTGTCATTGATGACATTTTTGTTTCAGCTTGGTCCAAATCTAGGTGGGGATACATTAGGAGGTCTAGGTGATATATTTGGTTCAGCACAGTCACAGTCCTACGTTCCACCTCAAGAGGTAAGCATTGTCTGTTAGGGTGACCATTAGGGCTATAATGATTGTACACCACTCTATTACAATAGGTGTTGTGAGTGTAAGTTCTGGACCACTGATTTTTGTGCAGGTGTACATGATGCAATGTGTTGAACTGCAGGTGTCATGATACAATATGTCGTACTGCAGGTGTTCATTATGCAATGTGCTACAGGTGTTCATGATACAATGTGTTGTGCTACAGGTGTTCATGATACAATGTGTTGTGCTACAGGTGTACATGATACAATGTGTTGTGCTACAGGTGTTCATGATACAATGTGTTGTGCTACAGGTGTTCATGATACAATGTGTTGTGCAACAGGTTTCATGGTGCAGGTGTACATGATGCAATGTGTTGTGCTACAGGTGTTCATGATGCAATGTGTTGTGCTACAGGTGTTCATGATACAATGTGTTGTGCTACAGGTGTTCATGATGCAGGTGTACATGATGCAATGTGTTGTGCTACAGGTGTTCATGATACAATGTGTTGTGCTACAGGTGTTCATGATACAATGTGTTCTGCTGCAGGTGTACATGATACAATGTGTTGTGCTACAGGTGTTCATGATGCAATGTGTTGTGCTACAGGTGTACATGATGCAATGTGTTGTGCTACAGGTGTTCATGATACAATGTGTTGTGCTACAGGTGTTCATGATACAATGTGTTGTGCTACAGGTGTACATGATACAATGTGTTGTGCTACAGGTGTTCATGATGCAGGTGTACATGATACAATGTGTTGTGCTGCAGGTATACATGATACAATGTGTTTTGCTACAGGTGTTCATGATGCAGGTATACATGATGCAATGTGTTGTGCCACAGGTGTTCATGATGCAGGTGTACATGATACAATGTGTTGTGCTGCAGGTATACATGATACAATGTGTTGTGCTACAGGTGTTCATGATACAATGTGTTTTGCTACAGGTGTTCATGATGCAGGCATACATGATGCAATGTGTTGTGCCACAGGTGTTCATGATGCAGGTGTACATGATACAATGTGTTGTGCTGCAGGTATGGTTAACTGCGGCTAAGGGGAAGGGGATGGAGATGACAGGTACATACGCACGACGCTCCGGCCAGATATACATGGAGCTCACATTCACCAACAAAGCCATGCAGGCCATGGCAGAGTTTGCAGTACAGTTCAACAAAAATAGGTGAGAACTTGGAAACACTGTTAAATACACAGTATTCAGTTTACTGTATCCACTTTGGGTTCCAGGTAATAACAACCAGGGTTGGTTGCAGGAGGCAACATAAATGAATCAGATGGTCAGATTCGGTAATTTGGTCAGATGGTCACATTTGGTCAGATGGTCAGATTCGGTCATTTGGTCAGATGGTCAGATTCGGTCATTTGGTCAGATGGTCAGATTCGGTCATTTGGTCAGATTCGGTCATTTGGTCAGATTCGGTCATTTGGTCAGATGGTCAGATTTGGTCAGATTCGGTCATTTGGTCAGATTCGGTCATTTGGTCAGATTTGGGCATTTGGTCAGATGGTCAGATTCGGTCATTCGGTCATTGCACTCCAGCTGCTTTAATCGCTGCTGCAATCACTGGTTTGTCTGGTCCAGACAGAATTATTCTCACTTTGCCATTGTATCACTAGAATATTGCTGAGTGTGGCATAAATCAACAAACAGTTAGTGACCTAGTTCAACAAAGTTCTAGTGTTTGTGCATTTTGACAAAATGTTGACACAAAAAGATGGTGTTTGATGAAATCATCGGTATCCACTTCATGTTATGTATGTTACTCACTCCTCCATTCATCAACTCACTCACTCACTCTTCTGTTTTCAGTTTTGGTCTGACGCAATCCCAGCCGCTTCAGATCCAAAGCCCCCTTCCCCCCAACAGTACAGCGAGCACGTCCCTGCCGCTAGGTACTAGTGGTGCCGTACAGAAGATGGACCCTCTCATGAATCTACAGGTGAGTACAAGGACAAATTGCTAGAGTTCCTGCAAGCAGCTGAACTGTCACACCTTAACGGGACACAAGGTCCCCGGTCTCCTAGGTCAAGCTGCCAAACATGGTCACCCATCCAGGGACTCCCTGTGACCAATGTTGCTTTGCTTCAACTGATTTGTGACCAGGGTGCCGTTGTAAAAGCGATCTTAGGACTAAGGTGACCGTAACTCCCACACCTTGACATAAACTTAAGGTAGTCTTAGCGCTAAGGTTGTTTTGTACAACGGCACCCTGGGTATCCCTCCTTGTTTCAGAAAGTGTCCTGAAGACCTTTTGACAAGTGGTTATCTTATTTTCAGAGGAAGGGCATAAATGGCTCCTTTTAGCTAGTCTGGATTCAGATTGCCTGTGATGGGAATGTTGTTTTGTTGTTGCAGGTTGCCATTAAGAACAACATTGGCGTGTTTTACTTCAGCACAGCTGTGCCTCTGCATGTGTTGTTCGTTGAGGATGGTGAGATGGACAAGAAGGAGTTTTTGGCCACATGGAAGGAGATCCCATCCACCAACGAGGTCCAGTACACCATCAATAATGTGCAACACAACGCAGGTAGGTCACTGTCAATAATGTGCAACACAACGCGGTAGGTCACTGTCAATAATGTGCAACACAACGCAGGTAGGTCACTATCAATAATGTGCAACACAACGCAGGTAGGTCACTGTCAATAATGTGCAACACAACACGGTAGGTCACTGTCAATAATGTGCAACACAATGCAGGTAGGTCACTGTCAATAATGTGCAACACAACACTGTAGGTCACTACCAATAATGTACAACACAAGGCAGGTAGGTCACTGTCAATAATGTGCAACACAACGCAGGTAGGTCACCATCAATAATGTGCAACACAACGCAGGTAGGTCACTGTCAATAATGTGCAACACAACACGGTAGGTCACTACCAATAATGTACAACACAACGCAGGTAGGTCACTGTCAATAATGTGCAACACAACAAGGTAGGTCACTACCAATAATGTACAACACAACGCAGGTAGGTCACTGTCAATAATGTGCAACACAACAAGGTAGGTCACTACCAATAATGTACAACACAATGCAGGTAGGTCACCATCAATAATGTGCAACACAATGCAAGTAGGTCATTATCAATAGTTATACCACTAGGGTGTGTTATGTCCATTGTTCTGGCAGGTTGAGTTTCTGCGTATCAACCTTCTATCTGCACGTGCAGAGGTTGATATGTGGATAACAACCTTGGCGGTGCAGGATAGCACCCCTCTGCAACAAGGGTGATATGGATTCAACGCTCTAGCCTGACGGCTCTCGCTGGTCGAGTGTTGAAATCCAAAATACCCTTGAGGAGGGTGCTAAGGTATACTGAGCAAAACAAGTAGGTCACTGTCAATAGTGTGCAACACAGGTAGGTCACTAGCAATAATGTACAACACAGGTAGGTCACCATCAATAATGTACAACACAGATAGGTCACTATCAATAATGTGCAACACATGTAGGTCACTATCAGTAATGTGCAACACAAAGATAGGTCACCATCAATCATGTGGAACAAACACAACCCAGGTAGCTCACTGCCAGTATGCATTAAAGGCTACCCCATGATGACAACCTTCTCCCATGTGGATGTACTGACAATCTGTATGCTCATGTTCAGACACAGTGTCCCAGAAGCTGAGGAACAGCAATATCTTCACGATCGCCAAGCGGAACGTTGAGGGCCAAGACATGCTGTATCAGTCTCTCAAACTCACCAACGGCATCAAGGTGTTGGCCGAACTGAAGATTCAACCAGGCAATCCTTCATTCACGGTCAGTACATGTTCGCTGTTTATGAGTTTATATACCTATATATAGACATAATACAAACAGTAAAGGCATATATTGTATATAGAAATATGAAAGCATCATTTGATCCTTAACCCCTTTATAGGGGTATATAATGTGTACATCTGAATCATTGAAGAGTCTCGGATGTAGTTTTTGTACTGGTAAATCATTTGTCATTCAACAATTATTCAGGCTGACAATTGTTTGATATGACATTGTGAACAAAAATAAACAAGTTAATAAATTTTGTTATGAGGTTTCTGTAAATCTTGTGGGGTGGTGGAGTAGCCTTGTGATTAAAACGTTCACTCGTCCCTCCGAAGACTCGGGTTCGATTCCCCACATGGGTACAATGTGTGAAGCCTGTGTCCCCTGCCATGATATTGCTGGAATATTACTAAAAGTGACGTAATCCGTCACTCACTCACTCTCTCCTCATAACAACTAGGTGGTGGTTTAACTTAGTGGTCAGAACGTCCGCTCTTTCTTGTGTCCCTCTGCTATGATATTACTGGACAATTGCCCTGAGATCTGTCAAACTATACTCACTTACTCTCCCCGAAATATCAATCACTGGATTGTCTTGTCCAGACGCATGCATTTAAAGCCACTGTTGTGAAAACATCACTGAAATCAACATTGAAAACAACATTCATAGAAATGATTGGTTGGTTTGTTGCTTAACGCTGCACCCAACAATAATTCCAGCTATATGGCAACGGTCTGTAAATAATCGAGTCTGGACCAGACAATCTGCTGATCAACAGCATGAGACTCGATCTACATAATTGGGAACCGATGAGTCAACCAAGTCAGCGAGTCTGACCACCCGATACCTTCAGCTGCCTCTTGCTCTTAGAAATGAAACATTATCTGAAGCCATTTCCCTGTTTCTGTGCATCTAACCTGTTTCTACTCTTACTTGCAGCTGTCACTCAAGTGCCAAACAACAGACATCTATTCTGGAGTACAACAGTCATATGACACCATCCTGCACAACTAAACGCAACCTGCCACGGGGTGTGGCGGTGTCGCAGCGGAGGTGGAGGAGGACAACGTGTGTGGTTGTTGTCGGCCATGGAGTCGGTGATGACTCAGATCTGAATGTCGGAGACCACAAACCAACTACTGCTTAGCAGCCTGTTTACAAGTGGTGTTCATATTTTATGTTAACTTTGTCAGATTCAGGCCTCCAAGTACCAGCCAAACATTAAATCTGAAACATAAATTTCATATACAAATACTGTTTAAATGAATCATATTCACTGACTTGAAATGTGAGTACATAGTATGCTTTTGAAATATGAAATTCTTTATAACTTAAATTCAGCTTGTACTATTTTCAGTACAGACATTATTTTGTGTATTTTACACATCGTTTACTCCAAAATGACAAATAACTGCTCCTGAAGATTTTGAGGATCAATTTGCTTTCCCTCCGAAAAAAAGTTAACTTGGAGGCGTGAGGTTTGACACAGGCCAGCATGGTAAATCAAGGAATTAATGCTAAATTAGCATGAGTCACGACCACTAGCGGAAAATGTATCATGAAATTAATGTGAAAAGCCCTGCTTTTCTATGACTGCTTTTGATTTGTCAGACATTTTTACATCGTAATTAAGCAATGTTTTGATTGTCATAGTGAGTTTTTAGATTACCACATATTACCGAAGATAAGCCAAGTTTTGGGGACTGAAAAAGGCAGTCCATAGAAGGTGGGGTCAGGGTCTCAACAGGTTACTCTTTTGTCGAACTTTTTTTTTTGAGAGAACATCATATGGCTACGTGTGAACGAACAAGAGAAAACGACTTTGTTAGTGAAGACGACAAAATTTGTATCTGATAGGTCACAAGCAACACTGTCATAAATAGAAGCACCGTCTAAATCTAGGTCTCAAATACGTTATTACGTTATTTATTGTGAGGTCTGTTCTGTCATTGTTTCCAGGTGAGTGCAGTGAATCTGACAGGAACATATTCCAGTATGTCCAGATGAAAACATGTCACTTCGCTAATTCAAGGGACTTTTTGCATCCATTTCCTGATACTGCAGCTTTCTGGGTACTTGCAGTGTAAAGCACTCTGAGCATTGTATGTTCCGCTTATTGTCACCACTAGTTAATTACAATGTCTAGTAAATCAACATTCCAAAATGATTAGGGAATTATGGTACAGTAGGCTTGTTAATTGTTGTTGTTTAAGAATATTTTGGATTACAAATCTGTGGTCAAGATGAATACTCTCTCACTTAGCCTGTTTATGTCACTGTGAACCTGCAGTTTTATTACCTATGTTACGCATTATTGTACATACATGAAATAAATGATATATACATCTTTGATCTTCTTTTGTCCATGTAGGGCATGTGTCTGACAAGAGTTACCTCCCCTAGACGTGCCAGACACCTATGATTGCTTCAAATCCTGGTTCCTGTTTTTAGAATAGTCAGCACCAAACACTTGTTCAACAAAATGATAAACATTTAAGACCTGCATTACTTCAGGCTTTCCTCACACATTAGTTTGTGCTGGGTGTTGTTTAACACAGCACTGTACATGGCGGCGGTCTGTCAATAATCAAGTCTGGACCAGACAATCCAGTGATGAACATCAAACATTGATTTACACTATTGTGATACGATGACGTGTCAACAGAGTCAGCAAACATGACCACCCAACCCCTCTTGTCGCCTCTTACGACAAACAAGGGTTGCTGAAGACCAGTTTTAACCCTGATCTTCTGTGCATTTGGTGAACAATAACACATCCAGCCAGGGCCATGTCCCCAAAGTGAACATACAACTACGATTGTCAAAACAGATGTACAGATAAGCTGCGTATCTGCGTAAATTACGCAAATATTAATGTGAAAATTCAATTCTTATTAAGTTTATTGCATACAAGTATGCTTGAGTTTTTGTAAATACTCAATAAATGTAAAGTTCAATGGACTTCAATAATGCCTTATTGATTGTTAGCTCTATGAGCATATTTGGTGATGAGTTTGGCGCTGTATAAATGGACACATTATTATTATTATCTTACATGCATACACACAAAATGTCAAATCTTAGCTTGGGTACCGGTGGATAGATACAGTACATCAGAAATTATTGAGAATTTTAAGATTGTAAATTTTATATATTTTTCACTCATTACTCACGTATTAAACGTGAATATTATGGTCCGACAACTTAACTTTTGGCACCCTGTTTTTCACAATTTATATAAAACTCCTGAATATTTTATAACACTACTCTGTTCATATGGTAATTGTATACCGTGACCTAACAAGATATTGATTTTAGTAAATTTAAAACGATTATTAAAGATTTTGCCTTTAAACCTGTCATATAATAATTGTAAAACTGTGGAGAGTTTTACGAGGGGTTAACGCACCTGATGGAAAAGCCAACAACATTGTGAAATGTGTGTCAGCGGTGATATGTACATGCACAGGTATTTACATTGGCACGCTTAAGTGATGTCAAAGATCGTCAACACGCACAGGTTGTAGGGAAAACGAGGTTGTACAAAGATGACCGGCAAATCATCAAAAGAGTTTACAACTTTTTCAAGCATGAGGCAAAGCGAAAAAAAATTCATTTTTTTTCAATTGAATGTTTCTCCAAAAGACATTTAATGCCACGAAAATCTGCAAAAGAATATTGCAAAAAAAGAGTTATCTCCCATGACACTATTTCAGAGCCTGATGGTGACATGGCAGTTAAATCGGGACCGTCTCAAAAAATGCAAAGAAAACAAAGCTTGTTGAATTCGATAGAAGGGTTGTGAGAGACGTCATGCGTCGGTTACATTGATCCATATTGTCAAGCAAACTGAAGAAAAAAAAATGTTCAAAGAAGACCATGACATATGCAAGCTGTTGCTCAAATTTGGATATAGATACAAGAGATCAAGCAACCAGTCTTTAAAGACTTCAATGAATCTACTTGTTTAAAATGGATTTATGATGATTATAGAGTCCCTGTAGATTTGATTGCAGGCGTAACAATGTAAACAAGATGCACGCGTGTCACACCATGTTGTTGGCTGTTCCATCGTATCATTTTACTCCCTTTTATAACTACTTCTATTTTTCATAATTTTAAAAGATGGCTTCTTAAGAAGAAGCTTTAATACTTGACATAAAATTATGAAATTTAAACCTTGGATAGATCATAAGATATAAAGAGCGTATGCACAAAAACATTTTGAAGGCATTTTTGGTTAAAAGGTAAATTGTGAAAAACAGGGTGCCAAAAGTTCAGTTGACAGACTATAGCAGAACATAACTCCAGATTCAAAGACAGGTGAACATTTAGTATTTTGTCAAGTCACCATGGGCAGAAATGCAGGCTTCAATGCAGTGGGGCATACTACTGATCAAAGAAGTTAGAAAGTCGTGGTCCATGCTTTCATTTCAGCAATATTTGTCAGATTTTTCTTATTGACACTTTCCTTCATAAGTCCCCAAACATTTTCTAGAATATCTGTGTACCGCTCACTGTTCATATTCCCTTCAAATACACAGAGGGGCGTTGCCCCTAACACAGATATGCCATCTCACACGTTAAATTTCTGCCTGTACTTTGGGCGCTGATACAAAGGTTTTTCAGTTTGTTTGGTCCAGAATTTCAGTGTATTAGGAAACAGCCACACAGAACTTTCAACTGAGAAAATCACATTGTCCCAGTTAAAATTTCTATGCTGTAAACACCAGTTCAACCTTCGCTCCTTTTGTCCAGGTTTCATGATCGGTGATGGAATTCCTTGACTTTTCTGCCAACCCATTGCATGCAGCTCAGTTCTAATTGTCTCCTTACAGACAGCCACACTTCCTCTATCAATCATATCAAGCCTTAAGTTTTCTAAACTCCTTCGTTTGTTTTTAGAAACAAGAATACCAAGCCACCTCCTGTCACCGACAGTCAATTTTCTGGGCCTACCTGTGCCTCCCTGGTGCTCAATGCCATATCCATTGGCAATATTTTTCAAAACACAATAAACAGTGGACAAAGGGATGCCTGTTCTACTTGTAATCAATTTAGCTGATCTGATGTCCTTGTTATAACACTCCAAAATCAACTTCCACTTCTCTAAATCATCCATACTGAGGATCACTGAAAATGTTGTCTGCTAGCAAGCAAACAAAGGGGGATAACTCTTCACAAACTAATGAAAAAGGATTAACGGAGTTGTCTCTCTTGAATGAAACCAAGCACTTGATAGCTGGTCAAGGTTGTTTAAACTAGAAATCCATTTAAACATATTCCTAAAATTCTCAATAATTTCTGGCCATACTATAAAATAACTTGGGTATATTGAGAGGTTGTATTTCAGGACATGAACTTGACAACTTGCAGTCCTTATCGTTTCTCATATTACAGATGAAATATAAATAACAAACACTAACACTTAAACTATTACATTTTTAAAATTAATGGAAAATGGCAAAATACCCAACTGAGTTTGAGTGAGGTGAGTACAATTTATTTATTTCTCAAAAGAAAGTAGGATACCCAATTGAGATGAACACAAACGAATACATAACTCAATGACCCAAAAAGTTATATGTAGCTCTGTCAAAATCTGTTACGATCACCTTGGTGATACGACAGTTTTGTGGAATGGGGCACAGGTCAGTAGGTCTTTTCCCCGTCAGAGGAACCGGTTTTCATGAACATCACAAATATTACTTCTCAAAAAAAACAAAAAACATTTAGATAAAAATTTTTTTTATTGTTGCATAAGATAACCATTTACTAAATAAAAATACTCTAAGTAAATAGATAACATAGTAATTAGAATTAACATGAGATATGAATTCATTCAAACTCTATTAAAATATATACCCGGGTTACTAACACTACATCACATGGTCACTAGCATGATCCGGAACCAAGCACTCATACATCATGTGTTTGACACCATTGGTCAATTTCACTAAGACAATAGAACATTTTGGACTAGACTTTTTGGTTTTTTTTAAATATACTAGTCTCTCTGAATTCTCACTCGTCTCATTTTCATTGGCTCACTACCATGTATATCCCTGATTTAAATCACTGACTGAAACAAGTTACATCATATGATAGGACCTGGTTCCCTCCTGGTCCCTGTAGCTGGCCCTGTTTTACAATACCATTCTCCTCAGTCCTCGTGTGTAAGGCTCATCCTGCCCATGGCCCACTCGGGACCAAAATCTCATTAAAATCGTTAGTTTTACTCCAGTATGAAGATCTGACAGCACCACCATACAATGTTGTATTGAGTGAGTGAGTGATTATAGTTTTACACCGCACTCAGCTATATTCCAGCTATATGGCGGCGGTCTGTAAATAATCGAGTCTGGACCAGACAGTCCAGTGATCAACAGCATGAACATCGACCTGCGCAATTGGGAACCGATGACATGTGTCAACCAAGCCAGCGAGCCTGACCACCCGATCCCGTTAGTTGCCCCTTACGACAAGCATGGGTTACTGAAGGCTCATTATAACCCAGACCTTCAAGGGTACATCAGCACTGCCATACAATGTTGTATTGGCTGGACAAGAAATGAATGGATTCTTGTGCCCATCAGATGTCGGGTTTCTGGAATAACGTGGATTCATCTTTACCACCTTGAATCAGGATCAGGAGCTTCTTTTGAAACAAAATAAATCTGACACCAAACACAGTTGTACCTTGACGGACTCTCTTACAAATGTATAGTACTCATGGTTTGATAAGGATCACAAAAATTCACAAATTTACTTAAACGTACATTTATAATATGCAATTATATCCATTTAAAACTGGATGAATAATAATATGGTAACCCCTCTTTAGGCAGAGTAACCATAAATATGGTTTTCATGGCACCAATCAACCATTTTGCAAATCATGGAATGAGTCATTGACAAACAACACCTGTCAATAGCAGGTATGGGGTTCACAAGAAGCAATGACATACTGAAACCTAGGAACCATGCTTACAATAAGTTTAGATATTTAAACCATGTTTGACTCCACATCATAGTTCTCTGTTGAATCCATGATTTGATCCTTAGCAAAGTGTGAATAGTATAGTTGTCATGGCATTCAGCAAGGCCTGGTTGTGTAAAATATCAACAATATAATGGCACCGCCTTTATCATTTGCATTAAGAACTGGCTGATCAAGTTCATTTTCAAGACTCATAAATCAAATGTGATGAACGGAATGCTTTGCTCATGCACTTCAACACAAATTAGAAAGGTCATCCGAAGTCAACTCCATTGAGAGGGTATCAGATCTTCACACAGAGCTAATTATCTGACATAAATATTTCTGAAACACTGACAATGTAAACACTGCTAACGACTGACTGACTGACTGAGGTTGGTTTTACGCCGCTTTTAGCAATATTCCAGCAACATCACGGCGGGGGACACCAGAAATGGGCTTCACACATTGTACCCATGTGGGGATTCGAACCCGGGTCTTCGGCGTGACGAGCCAACGCTTTAACCATTAGGCTACCCCACCGCCCCTCTAACGACTGAAAGAGGCTCTTTGACATAACACAAATGAGACTAAGAATTTCCCATATAAATTGATCAAAACACTAATACTGCAGAGCTTTAAGTCTAATGAATACTACATAGTTTTATTAATTACATTTAACTACATAAAAATATTACAGATGATCAACTGCATTTCTCAAGGACAATGAAACAAATTATTTCAAGACAAAATATAGCATGCCTGTCTCAAGGTTATAGGCACAGGTAATCCTTGACAGGGATTCCAAATAAGCACCCTTTGAAGGCCAAATAGAAATATTTTATCTGGTTATAAAATATATATTTTCTCACATTCAGAGGTACAGTAGAACACGGATATAACGAACTCCAAGGGACCAAGAAATTTAGTTCGCTATAACCGTTGTTCGTTATTCACATTTGACCGCCATCTTGGATTGTAGAGATGTAGACATTCACAGACTGTGACATTACCTATATCATGTTGATAAATATGAAGTTTATTTTTATAATAAAATTGAAATAATACAACTACAACTACCCTTGCCGAGAGTATTTTCACAGTTGTAAAAAGCGATTTTATCGGATAAAGATTGGTTTCTAATGACGCTTTTTCGCCACAGTCTGCTATAAGGATCGTGATTGGTCAAAATCAGACACGTGTCCTAAGGCAGCCAATCATACTACGGCAATGGATACCGTCCTCGTCAACGAAAACTTTCGTGAAACACGATATGTTTGTTTTGTTAATTAATTAATGACCATCAAACAATGTTGATTCACCGCCAATAAGATTGACGTATACTGTACCGCTAAGTGGCTGAGCTGACACTGAGTGAGTTCGCTAATCACGTCGTTAATTGGGTCTTGGGGGTACTAAATCAGTCCGCTATAGCCGTTAATTCGCTACTCACAAGTTCGTTATTAACGTATAGTTTTAATGATATTATAAAGGACTGTTGACGGGACTTTTAAATTTGTTCGCTATATCCGTTTGTACGCTATATCCGTGTTCGCTATAACCATGTTCTACTGTATAACATTTTATTTTAACATTGTATTCCCTGCAATGTGAACCTATTCCTTGCAAGGTGAAACTACTCCCTGCAATATGAAACTACCCCTTGCAATGTGAAACTAAGCATCAAAACGTTTTTCTCTTTGTCATGTCTTGTAACAGGAATGTTAACACTGTAGCTTAACATTGTACTCCCTGCAATGTGAAACTACTCCCTGCAACGTGAACCTACTCCCTGCAATGTGAAACTAAGCATCAAAACATCTTCCACTGTGTCATCAAGAGAGGTATTATAATTATATAACTACATGTATACTGAACAAAACAAAGTTGGGGATCATGAATATTTGATGGGATGCCCTTGTGAAATTGCATTGTTTAATTTTCATTACAGATTGTACATACTACTAACATGAATATGGAAATTCTCACTTTAACATTGTGAGACTTTTTAATGCCACATGTGTTTGACTTCGGGTCGAATGTCAGCCTCTGAGCAGATCTAAATACATTCCTGAAAGATCAAGTAAAGGACAGTATTGTTGCTTAAACTTTCATAGGTCATGGCAGCTTCACAAATATTTCTGTATCAGCCATACATTTTAAATCTTGCCACTGTGGTGACTTTGTGAAACTTTCCAGTGAGTCAGGTTGCTCAACGTGCTGGGACTATTCACCAGATAATCACAATGAGATACTTTGGACAATTCTAATTATACATATATAAGTTGTCATGGAGACGGACATTTTTCCACATATAATTGCACAGCTTGATCACACAAGTAAGGCACACAGTCTACTCTAGTCAAATCTGGAGATGTCTCTCCCGAACAGGAGCGTCTTCGTCCAGTCAAGGGGCACCTGCATCCTCAGTCGCCAGCTTCCGAGCCGGGTCAGGTAGGCCGAACGCCACAGCAGCCATGACGGAAACCCTGCAGAGAAACAAAATCTTACAGCTCCCGAATCAGCAATAGCATCGTCTCACCAGTAGGGTGATCAACACCACTTGAATAAAAGTAAACATGCCTGATCATGTCATAGGCAATCTGTCATAGAATCATAATGGAAACCTCATATGATTATATCGGGTGTTCTTAATTTCTTTTGAGTGAGTGAGTTAAGAGTTAACGTCACATCAGCAATATTTCAGCCATATCGTGACGAGAACATTTTACATTGAAATGGAATATGTGTATATTATAAAACCTGTCATCAAGGACAGTAAAACAACTAGAATATCACAATTAGATTTAAAACTAGTGTGGAGGGTTAAAACTAAAAGCACTATTAGGACAATACAATATAAAAGCAGGCTATAGATCGCCAACAACTGAAGGTAGATCACCATACTAGGAACCATGGGGACTTACATTACTTTTGCTACCTGCATGGACCCCAGCTGGATTTACACCATCCCTTCAGCTGCTGGTGATTGTAGGAAAATTTAGCCGGCAGTTAAAAGAACAAAGATACTATGTTTAAAATATGGTAAATTCTTTTGAAATAACATAGAATCAGCAAAAGTATAATCACCACTGGGGTGACATACCCCACTCTAACAAAGTTAAACAAACCTTGTAACTTGATGTTGGGCGTGTCCGACAGAGCCTGATAATCCCCGATGTAGGCCAACATTCCCATACTGGTGAACTTAAACTCTCCGAAATCATCGGCACATCTCTTGTTGAGGAAGTTGGCCAGGTAGCGTCCCTCCCTTTCCGCAACCTACAAAACACATGCAGATGATACAACTACAAATGGGAAGGAGAGCAGAGTTTATCTCTGCTTCGACAGTAATTCTTTTATATCACAACTTCGTGTGTACTAATATCTAGTCTCTGCAATCAACGTAACGACAAATCAGCAGAGTGCAATATAATATGAAAGAGCCTAAACACTTTCTTCATTCTTCAGAGGCTAAATAATTGCAGAGCTGTAATTGTTTGGAATTTTACGACACATGTAAAGACTTCAGTTACCCACCACTGACCTGCCACTGAAGGTATCTTTGATAGGAATATTAATTGTGTTCACCTCTTCTAACACCCTTTCACACTGGGGGCAGTTTGCAGCTTAGAGAATGGTAAATGTCAAATGTAAGAAATCTATTTTGAGAACAAGCTTGGGACATCGTTTAGACAAGATGTCTCCACAAGTCCTACAAAGATTCGAACAAACCCGTAGAGGTTTCTAATTCTTTGTCATAGGGACAAGAAAAGATTCCTGAGAATTAACACACGCACGTCCTTCCTGAGAAACGACAGCATGAAAAGTGAGGTATGAGGTGGACGGCGAGGGTGACCTGCTCTTGGCTGTAGGGGGGCATTGTAGGGGTGGCCTCACAAGACAAAAACGAGTTTTTTGTTTTGTAAATATATTTTATTAAAATGTTGTTACAACTGTCATAGGATTTTAAAATGGACATTTTAATGCTTATATGTACCCCAAAGAGGACTTTTTCTGAAAAAGAGCCCAACATTTAAAAGACTAATGGGATCGGGTTGTCAGGCTCGCTGACTTGGTTGACACATGTCATCGTATCCCAATTATTATGTAGACCGATGCTCATACTGTTGATCACTGGACTGTCTGGTCCAGACTTGATTATTTATAGACAGCGGCCATATAGCTGGAATATTGATGTGTGCGGTGTAAAACCAAACTCACTCACTCACTCATCGAACTTAGTTACAAAATGACTAAGACCTGAAAACATTTCTGAATCAAGGAGAAAGTCATAATTCGAAAGAGTGAGTGAGTGAGCACCAGAAATGGGCTCTACAGATTGTATCCATGTGGGGAATCGAACCCGGGTCTTCAGCATGATGAGGGGATGCTTTAACCACTAGGCCATCCCACCGCCCCAACAGTGAAGACTGACTGACTGAGTTTGGTTTTACGCCGCTTTTAGCAATATTCCAGCAACACGGGGGACACCAGAAATGGGCTTCACACATTGTACCCATGTGGGGAATCGAACCCGGGTCTTCGGCGTGACGAGCCAACGCTTCCAACAGTGAAGAAGGCTGGGGATTCAGGTGGAGCACGTGGTCAATGGTCTTATATTGACTGGTAACCTCCTAAATGACCACACTGTTTAACACAGTGTTAAGTCTTTTAAAATTAAATACACTTTTAACAGTATTTCAGTTCATGATGGCAGCTTGATGTATAAGAAAGCCCCAAGTGATGCAGGTCACAGACATTTCTAGTAGGGCTGCAACGATTCGGTTCCATTCACCTAAAATCGAATCTGATACCTTTCGATTCCATATTTGAATATGTATTTAAATTATTTCCACACAGCAAGAACATAATTTTGACTCCAACTCGAGCGCTGAAACAAGGCGATACATGATTGGTTGAGCAAGCGAGTTTGGATTTATGCCGCTTTTAGCAATATTCCAGCAACATCATGGCGCGGGGGACACCAGAAATGGGCTTAACACATTGTACCCATGTGGGGAATCGAACCTGGGTCTTTGGCGTGACGGGCAACGCTTTACCCATTTCGCTACCCCACCGCCCCTGACTGGTTGAGGCTAATTATCCAATGATAATTGTTGTTTGTAGACATCGCCAAGTTGACGGTGGATTTCATGCTAAAAAACGGACTCTGAGAGTTAAATGAAATCTGATACTTTCACTTGTATGAAGAACCAAACCAAAAAGGATCGAGAGTCCAATATTGAAAATCGAATCAAATCGAGGTCTGGATGAATGGTTGCAGCACTAGTTTCTACTGAGAAACCCTTCCCAATGAAAACAACCATCAATTACGTCACTTCACAGACTTGAACACCATTGTTTTATGATGAGATAGACTGACTGACTGAGTTTGGTTTTACGCCGCTTTTAGCAATATTCCAGCAATATCACGGCGGGGGACACCAGAAATGGGCTTCACACATTGTACCCATGTTGGGATTCGAACCCGGGGTCTTCGGCGTGACGAGCCAACGCTTTAACCACTAGGCTACCCCACCGCCCCTGATGAGATAGAGGTGTATTGAGCAATCCATCTTGATGCCAGTTGTGTCACATATAGCAGTTGCAGGGTTTTATGCACCTCGCAAATGTGCGTCCAGTACGCACAAATGTAGAGAATGGATGCAGACAAACAATTCACTGCGGCCTGAAGGATGCACAATATTATTCATTGTACCCACAACACATCTATGACTTTGCTAAGTGTTTGGATGCAGTTACGTGCATCATTTCATCTAAAGTAAAGTTCAAAACATCCACTTCTCGACACCGTTACTTCACGGTACCCTCACATTGCTTGCAAGGACCCCTAAAACTAATAATTGGGGGTCCCCAGGAACCCCATGTTTGTGAATCATGATAAAACCCTGAGTTGTACACCTGTCTCACTCACCTGAGCTGTGCAGGGGAGAGACATGTCCTTGATGTCCGCACAGTCCCCCAGGGCAAACACGTCCTTCAGGGCATCGCCCCCAGGGCTATTCAGTACTCTCAGGTAGCGATCAGTCAAAATCTGAAATGCGTTGATATACTCATACAAAACAAATAAACTTTAGTACTAATCAAATTAAGAATTTGGATATTGCACACAGATGAATTTTCCTATCAAAGACATCACTAGTTCTAATGTGCTGGGCTTCCGCATAGTATTCATCTAATATATTTCAATGTGAATGGGTGAACTTGGTTTTATTAAAGGTGATAATATAGGCAATATCACAGCAGGGGACACCAAAAAAAGTCTTCACACATTGTACCAATGTGGAGAATCAAACACATGGCAAGCAAACATTTACCACAAAGCTACTACACTGCCCCTTTCCAGTTGGAACTTTCACAGCCATGCAATACTTATCCAATACATTTCCATTTGGAACTTTCACAGTATATACTGCAGGTCAAATATTCATTTTGTAAGACCAGCTGAACCCTAAATAGTAGCCGATGTCTGATTGGTTAAATCCATTCAGCCATCTCATGTTTGATTGGCCGGTCACAGGTCGCTCAAAGGTTAGCAGTGGAATGAATAATGCTGAGCCAACCTACATGTAATTCGCCCTGAATTTTCCAAACATGAATACCCCACTCAGACACATTATACTGACTCCGAGCCGACCAGTCCTTGTTGTACCCTTTAATGCCGAGCGCCAGGCAGGGACTAACAAGTACCATATTTTAACGTCTTTTGGTATGACGCGGTCCGGGATCGAACCCGCGACCTTCTGCTCTCCGGGCGGACGCTCTAACCACTACACCACGGAGGCGGTTATTACTGACAGATATTGAGAGAAGAGGAAGAGTACCACACCTGTCCACGACTGTTCTTCTCCACTGTGAGACTGCGAGTGAAATGTCGCGGTGCCAGCCCGGTGCTCCAAACCACGAGTCCACATGGAATCACGCTCCCATCAGCCAGGGTCACACTGTCCTCCTTCACCTCTACAATGTAAACAACATACTTGTGTGTGTGTCTCAACAGGTAGTATCCTCGATCATGGTATTAATCAGTGCCTGTTTCATTTGCATAATGTCATGATTGTGTCCTGCTATTGCCCACATGAGTTTTGTGCTGAGGTTTATGATTACAATCGATTATTGATGAAATACTCAGCTCCAATTATCAATATGCATATTGTAAGCAATAAGTAGCGCTATATATTTAATCATTTGACACATTCCTACCTCAAGTGACTGACTGACTGAGTTTAGTTTTACGCCGCTTTCAGCAATATTCCAGCAACATCACGGTGGGGGACACCAGAAATAGGCTTAACACATTGTGCCCATGTGGGGAATCGAACCCGGGTTCGGCGTGACGAGCCAACGCTTTAACCACTAGGCTACCCCACCGCCCCCCTACCTCAAGTGAATATATGAAGAATGAACATCAGAATTACAAAATGCATTGAAAGCTTCCCAAGGGTCAAGAAGACCTAACACCTGTAACCATGATGAGAATATTTTGAGTACTCTAACCTGTAACAGAGGACTGCACCATGTCAAAACGGTCTCTGTTTCGGATCTTCTTGGTGGCAAAGCTGCGGAGCTTCTCGTCGAATGACGCTAGGATCTGGTTGGACTCCACCAGTGTGACCTTTACCATCTTCTGCTGCTGTTTGTACAGGTGCATCACATCCTGGATGACAAAACAGACATACATGGTCAGGACCTGGGCTCTTATTCTCGAAATATTCGTAGTCCTAAGAATTCTTCACTTTGATCGTAGCCAATGTGTTAAGAATTGACTTAAGAAGTTCGTAGCACTACGAACGTTTCGAGAATAGCTAGCCAGATTTCTTGAAACAAATTTAGATTTTTACTCAAATTGCAATAAACATGATGAGTTTGTGACTTTTAGTTTTTTATATTCCAGCAATATCAGAGCAGGGGAAACCAGAAATGAGGAATCAGACCCAGGCCTTTTGGCGTGACGAGCGAACACTTTCACCAATAGGCAACCCCACCGCCCCACGAACATGATGAAGGGCTTGTCAAATATTCAAACAAGATTTTTCGTGTTACAGTAAAAGATCACAGTTCATGTAATTTGACTGATCTAAATGAAATATGAAGTTGCCCTATTTTTATATCGCACTACAAATCACACTTCAAAAGTTAGTGGATATATCAGTATATCAAGATATGGTATGACGATTGCTATCGTAACTGGAAACTAGTATGTGCCTTACACATTTGAACAAATACATCTTTTGTGACCTTGACACTTATCATCTCACCTGCTGCACGAAGTCGTACAGCTCAGCTCCAAACTCGACGCCAGTTGGGCCACCTCCAACAATGACTATGTGAAGTAGCCGCCGTGCTTCACTCTCATCTATCCCAGGCTGCACTGCAAGCTCGAAGTTGTTCAAGATGCGATTACGGATCCTTCTAGCATCACCAATTTCCTGAAGAAAGGCACCATAGTATTAGGTAATCTGTGATGATGCAGACAGTGTCACAACAAAGCTCCAGATATACTTTCAGTCATTCAGTATTTATTCAGGCATAATACACTTGACAGCACCTAGGTATTGATAGTTTTCTTTGGGTATTCAATATACAGTGGATGCTCTCTAAACCGGCACTCGTTGGGACTGACAAAAAAATGCTGGTATAGAGGGCGTGCCAGTTAAGAGAACTTTTCCCTTTTCAACCTGAGAATGATTTTCCGTATGCTGTAAAATACGACTGAACAACGTGTTGATAGTCATCATATTCGACGCTCACTTTGAACTGTTTGATGTCGTATCGTGTCTTCCAACGTGCCAGCCAACCATCTGATGCATCAAACTCGTTGATATTTAATTCTGAAGCAAACTGAATAGCTTTCTCTTTCAAAATAGGACCAGAAATGGGCATGTTTTAACAGCGGTCAGTCGAAAAACAATCATGCCGGTTTAGAGAGCGTTAATTACTGTACAAACAGTCAATATTGGGCGGTCTTTGTTGTCCCGAAATACGGAATAGACTGACGCCAGGTTAGAGGGCGTGTAAATGATCATAAATTAACTAGCTTCTGTCGGGACCAAATTGTAGTGCCGTTATTGAGAGCATGCCTGATTGGAGGGCTGCCGGTTTAGAGGGCTTCCACTGTATTTCACTCCATGGGTTCAGCCTGTAAGGTGCTTTCACACCAATGAGTGGATATTCGAATTCTAACTTATATCTGTTTTGGTCTTCAGCAACCCATGCCTGTCGTTAGAGGCGACTAGCGGGATCAGGTGGTCAGGTTCGCCGACTTGTTTGACCATACGTCACTGTATCCCAATTGCGTAGATTGATGCTCATGCTGTTGATCACTGGATTGTCTGGTCCAAACTTGATTATTTTAAGACCGCCGCCATATAGCTTGCATATTGCTGAGTGCGGCGTTAAACAACAAACCAACCAACTATATCTGTTTGTGGACTGCCTCAAGTGGGTAACATGTTGCATAAACTTACAACGGAGATATACATGTATAGTTAACAATAAACAATGAGCCTTGTTTGTGCATTATTTGGTATATTAGAGTTGCATCATCATCAGCATATTTGTTTGTTTGATGTTTAACACCACTGTGCTCAGCAGTTTTCTGGCTATGTGAAGCTGGTGTGTGAATAATCAAGACTGACCAGATAATTCAATGACTGACCACATGAGCAACAATATGCGCAATTGGGATACCAGTCTGACCGTCCGATCCCATTAGTCACCTCAAGCATGGGTTGCTGAAAACCAATTCTAACCCTGATCTTCACGGATCCACAACCTGTCGCCCTGACAGAACAAAGTGAGTGAGTGAGTTTAGTTTTACGCTGCACTCAGCAATATTCCAGCTATGTGGTGGCAGTCTGTAAATAATCGAGTCTGGACCAGACAATCCAGTGATCAACAGCATGAGCATCAATCTACGCAATTGGGAACCGATGACATGTGTCAACCAAGCCAGCGAGCCTGACCACCTGATCCCTTTAGTCGCCTCTTACGACAAGCATGGGCTACTGAAGGTTCATTCTAACCCGGACCTTCACGGGTTGACAGAACAAAGAAAGAAAAATACCTTACCTTCAGGAAGAAAGCATGTTCCGCCACCCCGGGTACATTGAACGTGTTGCTGAGAGCTCCCACTCCAATCACAAGTTTGTCAAACTGTAGCCAGTAGTTCAGGCTGGACTTCACCCCACTCTCACATAATAGGGCCTTCTTCTCAACGTCAAGGTCAGCAGCTCGGGAAAGATGGAAATGAGCTGATTGACGGAATCCGGTATTGCGAATTGGTTCGATGATTGACCTAGATAATGAACATCCAAACTCAGTGGTTTCGTACACAGTGGACATTAAACACAAGCAGGAAATACTTGGAATGTTTATTTGTTTGTCGTTTAACACCATATTCAGCAATATTCCAGCTATATGCCAGAGGTCTGTAAATAATTGAGTCTGGACCAGACAATCCCATGATCAACAGCATGAGCATCAACCAACACAAATGGAATACGTGACATGTGTCAGCCAAGTCAGCGAGGTGGACCACCCAATCCCGATAGACGCCTCTTACGACAAGCACCAATTACTAACCCGAAAATTCACGGGTAGCCTCTCAAAGAAGCAGAGCCTTGTTCAATAAAATTTTAAAAAGCTGGCATAATTACAGTCAGTTTCAAGGTTGGGCTAAACCTACAATAGAATGAGATGAATTTTGTCTTGGATTGTTTCGCGGAAGCTGATATGAACATAGTATGTCTGGGAATCTCTCATGGGGTAAAATGCTCATCATCTGACCTGAACTCGAGAGTGCCGACTGTTGTGCTGGCCAGGAGAGGTGTAAACAGGAAGTGGTTTCTGGGACTGACAACAATGACATCATACAGCTTCTTGTTGATGTTCTTGAGCAGACTGTAACTGCCCCATCCTGTTCCCAACACCACCAGCTTCTGTCGACCACCCTGGGACGAGAGGGAAGCATTTCTCCCCTCCATGGCACTGGACAAGACGTCTGCTCAAAATACTGTAACTTCTTGCACAAACAAGCATTTTTAAAAACTATACCACAAGTTCTACCCTCTGGACTGTGAACAGGGGAAATATATTCCTAATGGCAGCAGACCTTGCTACATATTACTTAATCTGTAAACACTACCACAGTGCTTACACAAAGTCACTCAAGTTTCTTTGAAACAAGTGTTACATGAAACATCTTGTCAAGTTCCATGAATGTCATGTTTGATGTAAATCAGCCAGCCTTGTGAACCTGGAACAAAAATTTCATAACTTCATAACGATGATCTTTTTCGCCTGTATTATTTATGACTTTTTATCAAATTATACAATGTGACATGTCACATTTGTTTTCTTGCAGTTCTGTTATGAGGCTTCACTTCCAACTGGCGGTTCTGCTTGTTTACTTTTCCGTTTATCTTCTGGTGCATGTGGGTTCTCTCCCTTGTAAAAGTCTTTCAGCAAGTTCACAGCATCATCTGCCATCACACCTGACACACAAACAAACTTGGGTCCAAGACTTGGAAGGTCATCCCTTGCCACATTCAAGATGGAACCGCAGCCACCGAATCTCTCATTGGCACATCCGAACACAACCATTGGAACATTCATTTGTTTGAGAGCTCCTGCACACATGATGCATGGCTCCACCGTCACATATAAAACCAGCTCTGAAAACACCTCATCTGGTTTCTGATCATTAGCTTTACACCATTTAAACACTTCTTCAATGGCAACAATTTCTGCATGTCTGGTCGCATTCTTCGTCTCGTTGACTTCATTCCTGCCAGTAGCGATAACCTTGTCTTTATGCACCATGATGCAACCTACAGGAACTTCTCTATTTTGCAGAGCATTGTGGGCAAGTTCCATTGCTTTACCCATCCAAATTACATGTTCATCAGACGACATATCTATCTCTTGATCTTTAAAGTCTAACTTTGAAACAAAAATTGCACAATATTGAAACTTTAGTAACCGAATCACAGACTGATCATACATGTTGTGAAAGTCATTCTGTGGATGAAAGCTCAATTTTGAATTTACGGTCTGGTTAATGTTTCAAGTACTTTCTGGCGAATTCGTTCAAGTCCTTGTAATAATCTGTCCCGTAAGAATATAGTGAACTTTGAAATCAGCTGAACTGAAGTGCTGCTTTTCACTTTTTATATGGAATTCTGTTCATAAATATTTCTCGATGAATCAATCGAAAACGGTGGAGCCAAAACGGTTAAAAATCTCACAATGACACATAACAGATTTCATAATGATCTTAACATTATCATTTGAAGTGAAAACATGCCACCAAACACTTTCTCAACATCGCCAATAGGATTCGCTTGTGTAGGCATGCAGTGATGGGAGCTAAACTATTGCTCGGCATTTCTCTCGCACTCATTTCAAACTGTTGCACACCTCAAAATATACTAGCATATGATTTGAGATTATATGTATCACTGTTCATGTTTCATAACTAATCCCTTTCCCCTGCTGACAAACTAACGCGATGACAAATTCGGGATTCATTGTTTACCTATTTGAGACTCTTGGCCGCGGAAGTGTCAACTTTTGTCTGTGCAGCGGTCTTCGTTATAAATCGACTGTTTCCGCCAATCCACGAACACGTCCGTAGTAATGATTATCTTCACGGCGCAACCCGAAGTTAAAAAGCAGGCAGAAGACGTGACGTCATTGAAAGTACCACTGAACATTTCATGACGTTTACACAAAGGTGCACGGAGGGAAGAGCAAATTGCAACCCGTAAACAGTAGCGACAAATCAAATCAAAGCGAATGTGACAAGACAGACACTTCAGTGAAGCAAGATGAATCCACTGACATTCGTTGTAAGTTAGGTTTCACCAACAACGCTTTTGAAAATGATCAGCGCCATTTTGGTTGTAATATTTGTGAACTGTTAGTGTCAATGTTCGTAGCAGACGCTTTTTTCCCCACAAGTCTGTTTCATTATCTTGAGTTTTAATACTGATTTTTGAAACCTTAAATTTACGTTATCAACTGGTCGACTTTCATCGAACGGCAGGAGCATGCAAAATGTTAAGGGAACTAATTTTGATTGTGTGTGACCGAAAAGTATTCTTGACTTTGACCTGCTAGAAAATCCCATTCCAGGTTTCTGAATGGAAAATGAAATTGTTCGGCAAAAGTGTGAAAATTCGAAAATGGATGTCCGAGTGAATGACTTCATGATGATATATGTCACAATCAGCCATATTTCATTGAATAACAGATGCATAACATCCTGAGACTAGTCCAGTCTGATTCAAACAACAATCTGTAGCACAATGCTGATCAACTGTTTTTAGATGGATTTAGGGTCTCATTGCTGTCAATATTACACAGCCGCAAATTGCCAACAACATTTTCAAGTAATGAGAAAATGTTGAATTTCTGTTTTATAAATAGTGAGTGTGAGTGAGTTTAGTTTTATGCTGCACTCAGCAATATACCCGCTATATGGCAGCGTTCTGTAAATAATCTAGTCTGGACCGGACAATCTAGTGATCAACAGCATGAGCATCAATCTACGCAATTGGGATACAATGAAATGTGTTAACCAAGTCAGCGAGTCTGACCACTTGATCGGTTAAAGGCCTCTTACGACAAGCATGGGTTACTGAAGATAAATTCTAACCCTGGATCTTCACGGGTTTATTTTATAAATAAATTTGTTACTTTTAAACCTTTTTATCCTGTGAAAAGATTCTCAGACGATAAGGATATTGATTTGTAATGACATCATCAATGTTTGTCATAACCGGCGACTAAAGGAATCCTGTGGTGAGGAATGCTGACTTGGTTGACAAATGTCTGGTCCAGACTTGATTATTTACAGACCAAATAGCTGGAATATTGTTGAGTGTGGTGTTGAGCAGCAAACAAACTAACTTTAGACCATATAGAAGAACATATCATTTCATCCGCAGCCTGAAGATCATTATTTATGTGGTGTGCACTAGTCAGATAACTTCTATCAAACATCATTTTTACAATTCTTTGTCATGGCTGCTGACATATTGTCTTTGAATCTGTTTCTTGCAAATGGGCGGTGGGGTAGCCTAGTGGGTAAATCGCTCACTCGTCACACCAAGGGTCCAGGTTCGATTTCCACAATTGGGTACAATGTGTGAAGCCCATTTCTGGTGTCCCCCGCCATGATATTGCTGGAATATTGCTAAAAGCGGCGTAAAACTAAACTCACTCACTCACTATTTCTAGCAAATAAAGTGACCATACTTGTGAAGCATGTGGCCATCAATTTCTTTTCAGTTATGGACAGTTTATAAAAAGGATGTCATGTTAATACTTATTACTTTATTTAAATGTCCAACTAACATATCATGTGTGATGATATGGGTTAGAATTGTCATTAGCAGCCTGTGCTTGTTGTAAAAGGCAACTGAAGGGATCAGGTGGTCAGACTTGCTAACTTGTTAGATGCTTGTCATTGATTGATGTTTGTGATGTCAATCACAAGATTGTCTGCTCCATACTTGATTATTTACAGACAGGTGAGGTGAGGTGAAATTGGGTGTAATGTCGTGCTTGAGAATATTTGGCTCATATGACGACGTGCATGCATGTGTAGGTGTATGTGCGGCTGCTTGTACTAGCCCAGACTGAAGCTGGTTTTATAGTGCTAGCCCACTGAGATACCATGCCGCAGTGAAACATAAATACCCCACTCAGACACATTATACTGACTCCGAGCCGACCAGTCCTTGTTGTACCCATTAATGCCGAGCGCCACCAGGCAGGGACCAACAAGTACCATATTTTCAACCTCTTTTGGTATGACGCGGTCGGGGGATCAAACCCGCGACCTTCTGCTCTCCGGGCAGACGCTCTAACCACGGAGGCGGTCTATTTACAGACAGCCATCATATAGCATGAACATTGCTGAGGGCTAAAGTGTATCCGGTTATTGTGTATTTTTTTGCTTTTGAGAAATGATGGCGTAGGTGTATGATAGTAGCTTGTTTTCATTTATGACGCTTTGAAATTGAACATGAATTATGTTTTCTAAATGCTTGACTTTCATATTTAGACACACCCAAGTGTTCGGATCAAGGGCACTGAAAACAACTACTCTCCAAGTGTCTGTCAAGATACATCATGTACCAACAAGACCCCACACATGCACTGTCCTTTCTGTGTGAAGTCAGACTCATACCAAGACCCAGTAATACTGAAGGCTCACTACAGAGTCAAGCATGTTGACAAAGGCATTGAATTTGCTGGTAGGTACATTTCTCTTCACAAACCACAGAATGGCAGCTGCTAGTTTTATCATCTCACTTTATGTCTGTATACGTGTTACTGTTGTGAGACAGCATGTCTTTTCACTAGGGCTAGCTATCGATATAGAATATAGAGACTGATAATATTGATCAGTTATAGTTAAGTATCGGTGAAGTAACTTTGAGCAAAAAAGCCAAAAATATCTGAAAGAAATCAACATATTTCACATCACATATGTAATAACATATTTAGGTTTTGATTACTAAGTAAAACACCAATGTGGTTAGCATCAAAGACCTGTATAATCGACAGCTTTCTTCTCACATCAAGTTGCCATGCCAGGATATAACTGTAATACTGGTCAAAGTGGAGGAACCCCACTTCACTCTAAAACCTGACTAACAACTGAATTTCATTTCATTTGTGAAGGGTTGTGAGAATAGCCTTTGTTACCATGTAAATAGTGTTGATTTAATATTATAATTCATAATGAAAATGAAAGCATTTGGCGAAAGGTAAGCATGTACGTTCAAATGGCATAAGATACTAGTTACTGCATGACCCAACCACAGGACTCCCTAACATTGGCACACTGCTAACCGAATTGTCCTCTGTTCATCAATGTTTACTGAATGTCTGAAAATGGACATTGTACAAGTTTGTTTAGTTTTAAATTTCTTTACTCACTATGTAGCATTATCACATATGATCATGAGAACATATCACCTTTTTCTGTAAACCCTCATGTTAATGTCATCGGTTTTCGCAGCACCAACCGTAGACTCATTATAATTTCCAGGTTTGAAAGTGTTGCGATGTTGTGACCACTGTGATATTGTTGGTGTAATAAAGGGAGAGAAGAAGTTCAAAGGAGCTCACTGGCATTGCTACAAGTGTCGGAATGGCTTCAACAGACGGGATGAGGCTATCAAACATTACAAGACACACTTCAGAAATCCTCAAACAACCTTCCAAATACAGATTGCTCAAGTGAGTCATCCCTTTTGATATCATATAATGAATCATCCAAGAAGATGTTAACAGCCTGGCGACAAAGACAAATCAGCTAAGGCAATTTATTACAAAACAACTGTACAGCTACAATGATTATAACAATCAATGAATGTAACAATGAATTACAGATTAGTTTCGATATTGGCCTAATGAGAAGTTGGCGAATTGTTGGTCCATTTGTTTACATTCATCTTAAGAAGCCCCATTAATGGAACATGCATCTGAAGTTTTTAATGGATAATATGGAAAATTTAAAGAATAAATGGCCACGACGCAAATGCCATCTTTCTGATTGAAAAAGCTTTAACTTGATTTAAAATACCTTGAACACTTGTTGAGGTTTGTTCAGCTAAGTTAATGTAAGAAGTAAGGATATCCCCCAAATTCTGTATCTTGTATCTTTTCTAATAAGTATCTTGCCATTGTTTTCTATAAGGTTGTTTGATGTGTTTCAGGAGGTGAATCAGTGTAGCAGCAGTGCTTCTGACCCCACACACAGTATTTGTTCTGACCAGGACATCATACACCCTGCCCTCACACAGGCTGCCTGTCTTGCCACTACAGACCACAGTAAGTGAACCTGAGTCACCATCTCACCATCACCCCTGTTAACCATGGCTAAAAAACTTGCCTAATAGTGGCCACAAAGCCGTTAAGCATTCCAAAGGAAGCCAAGACTTGCCTTTACATTTCATGTATTATTCCTTATCCTGACTCATGATTATTTGCTTTCTCATCCTCTCTTCCGAACGGTCAAGTGGAAACTTGAATCCTTTCAATTCCTTTCTGTCGACACAGGGGCTTGTAATATTAAAAACTGCCATCAAGGTATGTACTGTCACTGTCGGGGTCTTAGCACTATATAAAAGGAAAGGGATGTAACGAGGTCAACACACCAAGTTCGTTTCAGGGCGAATTCAACAATGCTCACTGTATTTATCCCATTTAAAGTATGCACACATTTCAAGCCAATAGATTTATCTACAAAATAAGACATAGAGCACAAACATCGAAGCAGTACTTTGGGAGCTATGGTCTTCGGAAGCTCAAAAAATCATGATTTCTCGATTCCGAGCCGAAATCCCTGCTCAGAATTTGTAGCGGAAACTTGCCCATTTTCTTGTTTATTTCACAGTATACACAAACGACATGCACCAAAACATGTTGAACTGATGGCACCTCTCAGCGAACTAGTCGCCATTCTTTCGGAGACACTTACACCACACTATCATAATGAGTTTACGTACATTTATTCATCACAAACAGACTTGTGTCGTGCCCGTTCGCCATTGACAACCTTGGCCTTAACCTGCCCCGCACTAAAAAGAGCAAGGGAGCTCATTGGCTATAAATAAAATATGTCTCATCAGATCGCTGACTCTTTTTAGTGCGGGGCACGTGAATTTAAATTCAGTGGCCCCATCTGCAATGTGTTTGTAAGTACATAAGTACAGTGGACTCTGTCAATACCGGCCTCTCTTAACACCGGCACTCTGTCTACATCGGCACAAAGTTTCAGTCCCGGCAGAAATGCACGTTATTATCATTTAGAAACTTCTGTAAACATCGGCATCTGTCTATTCAGGATATCGGCATTGTTTTTCAGTCCCAACGAACAAGTTGTTATGAAAACGAATCTGTGAAAACCGGCACATGAAAGACGGCGTAACCCTTTGATGCAATTAGGTCCAAATGATTTAACAACACAATACGCTGTGACTCCCGAGATTATTCAGAAACGGGAAGTGTCAATCAGTTTCTTGTTAATCAGTGAGTGGTACGTAACACTTACCCTGAGTAATTAATAGATGTAGTGGGCAGTTTGACTGTATAAACAAGCAAGTGTTTACATTTTGTTGATTCGCGGGTATTGACTCCCGAGATTATTCAGAAACGGGAAGTGTCAATCAGTTTCTTGTTAATCAGTGAGTGGTACGTAACACTTACCCTGAGTAATTAATACATGTAGTGGGCAGTTTGACTGTATAAACAAGCAAGTGTTTACATTTTGTTGATTCATGGGTATTGACTCCCCGAGATTATTCAGAAACGGAAGTGTCAATCAGTTTCTTGTTAATTAGTGAGTGGCACGTGTCACTTACATAGAGGCTTAATCGCTTTGATGGCGGTATCGCTCGAAAAGCTCTGAACATCAACAATATCACTGTACTCTTGCCGAGAGTATTTTCACATTTGTAAGAAGCGCATTTTATTGATCAAGATTGGTTTCTAACGACGCTTTTCACTACACTCTGCTTATAAGGGTCGTGATTGGTCAAAATCAGACACGGACCTAAGCAGCCAATCATATTATGGAAATGGATACCGGCCCTCGTAAAACTAAAAGTTTTAGATTAAGACGAAAGTTTTTGGGTAAAATAATGCTATTCTGAACATATTAAGAAAGACATCGCTACCTATATATGTGAAATCATGGAACGATTGGACATATCGCGCTAGGTTATGGCCTATGACAAAAATGCTTTCACATTAAGCATCGTGGTGAAAGCCGAGATGTAACTTGTCAGTGACTTGACTTACATTGCATGATCGCCAAAAGAATGGAAATAGTAATTTTATATGCACGCTTGACAACTTTTATGAATGTTATTGTTGATTTCAATTTATTTAATGATTTCCCTCGATGTTTGAAACATCGCTACTTTGCTCTTTGACAATGCTATTGTAGACCCGCCGTCAAGCATAAACAAGAATCGTTGTTTGCAATAACATTGCGAAAAATAGTTTATAATTTTAATTCTGCCGATAATATATGATCAGTTGAAATTTAATAAGAGATTTCAGACATTTTTATTTGATTTAAACAACATGAATGTGCATTCAGACACTGCCTTGTTTCTTATTCAGACATCTTGTTAATGCTAAAGTGACAGTACGACAGCTTAACTTCCGCGTGCGCAGGCGTCATAAGCGAACCTAGCTAAACCGGCACTCTGTCAAAACCGGCATTTTTACTTGGTCCCGACTGATGCCGGTATTGACAGAGTACACTGTATATAGTTTATCATATGCTTATGAATATTGTAATGCTACAAACACTTTGTGGATCTGGCCCCGACTTGCCCTACTCTTAGATTGCCAGTCAATGTCAGCTGTAATTGGCTGCAGACAAATTTCAAATTTAGGACACCTTTGTCTGTTTTGATAAAGTCTTCAAAACAGTTGCTGAACAAATGAAAATATAGCTTCAGGGGTTAGTGTAGGTTTACTGAAAAGTGTTGTTTCTAAGCGCTGCCTGTTCTTCGAATTATTTAACATGATGTATTCTAAGAGTAAGATGTTTAAAAAATATCCCAAGAATTTAAGTACGCTTACAGAACCTACTGCTGCATCTACTTTTAAGAAGAGCAAATTTCTTTTCAGCAGTATTGACAAGTAATGGTGTGTGTAAGACCTCTGAAGGGACTGTCCATGTCCATTGCCGCCAACGAGACAATAAATACTGGCGATGGTCAGACAATCATGATCATATCTGAAGAACAGCTGGAGGCAGCTCAGATAGAAAACACCTTTGGGACACAGATAATATCAGCAGAGGTACACACTGAGAGTAATATAATACATGATTTCATGTGAAGTAAAGTTATAAAATGCATGAAATTCTTTAAAGTCACTGCAATGTACTTGTCGTTGTTACTGGAGAGGTTGTGCTAATGTATTGATAAATGTGAGATTTGTATTGACAATTGCGAAACACACTGAATACGATTTCTTTTAGACTTAACGCATCATAGATTTATTAGCTGTGAAAGCTCAGTTCTTTGTCTTAATTCAAGTGACTTGTATTTCTGAATATTCCACCATAAGCAGATTCCATTGAGAAATGAAAACATGCTTATTGTAAAGGAATTAATGATCATCTAAGTTAACATTTATTTCAGGATGTAAGTTACCTTGATCCGAAACAGTCACTTGAGAGGAAGTATGAGTCCGCAGAAACTGCTGTCAAAGACTTGAGGAAGAGAAAGCGCGAGCTTAAGGCTGAACTCTACTCAGAACAGAACACAAGCAAGTGATGAAATGTGAATGTAAATAATTGAATCTGGACTAGATAATCAGTGATTGATATTATGAGTAACTCTCCATACCATCAGGGGTGGTGGGTAGCCTAGTGGTTAAAGCTGCTACTCGCCACGCCGAAGACCCGGTTTGATTCCCCACATGGGCACAATGTGTGAAGCCTATTTCTGGTGTCCCTCAGCCATGATATTGCTGAGTACTGCTTAAAGCGGCTGCGAAAACCTAAACTCAGTCAGTCAGTCCATACCATCAGGATACACTGAATTTATTGTCAAGCAAATGAGTCTGACGCCTTGGTCCATTAAATCCTCTCATACAAGATGCATTTTTTTCTCATCCGGAATGCTCACAGCATTACTGGGCATTTTAAATGATTAACTGATGGAGTAAATTGTGTATTTGACATCAGTCTTGAAAACATTAGTGTTGTCAAGATAAACTGTCAGGATTGACAACACGATGAGAAGGGAACTATTGTTATGATGAATTGATGCCCAGTTTAGCATAGTCTTCCATGTGCTGTAGAATGTCTTCTGCTATTGTAGATCCAGGCACAGGCTGAGGAGATAAACTTGTACAAACGGAGAGAGCAGGAGCTTCTCAACCAGCTGCAGCTGACTGAACAGATCAATATGCAGGATATGCTGACTTCTCTGCAGCAGCAGCACAAGGACCTGCTCAGTGCTCCAGTTAGCGTCCCTCAGACAGGCCTTCCTCACACGACTACCTCATGAGCTGGTAGTCAGCTCCAACGTAGTCCACATTTCGCCCGACTCTTACGAAATCCACATCAATGATGAGACGGAGAAGGCAGAAGAGACTCATGTTGTGGGTGATGGGCAGCATGTAGTTCACATCAAACAGGAATGTGCTGCCAAGGACAAGAGTGGCAGTGAGAATGGTGTTGGGGCAGCAGGTCCTAACATCCACTCTACTGCAGAGCTTGTGTCCCCTTGTCTTGGTCATGTGTGTGGAGGGATGAGTCGGTCAGCAGAACACGGACAGCATCACTGACCAGAACTCCCTAGTCATAGACCATACTCAGATGGACCAGGATGCAGCCAACTCGGCCGCTGCCTTAATAACAAACGGACAAACTGAAGTGGCCAGATCTCAGATAGAGATTACAGAAGTATTAGAAGAATCGGAACCAGCTAAGAAAAGACTTAGATCCACGTGATGCAAGAAGTCATATCTCAAATCTACCTCTGGTCAAATGTGTCTAAAGCATTTGATAACCACGCGATTTTGTGGGCAACTGTTTAACCCAAGGTTAACATCATGGCATGGACTTAATACAGTTACTACCCTAGTCAAATAATTTAGATATGTTTTCCAGAGGCCCATTTCTTCCTTGATAGTGTTAGATACACAAAGTGGAATAATCAATGATATGAATAAAGTAGCTGGTTTACCGTGACTGGCTTGTTCATGCTTTTATCACTCATTTTAATATGTCAGTAAATTTTGTTACTAACAGAAAGTTGTGTTTTTTATCACTATCCACCTGCTGGTGTCTTTTCAGTCTAAGGAAATGTTGAAGGCAGAAGTCACTTCTATCCTCTTTCATCTGTCTATTGACAGTTGTCCCTATGTGAGGAGAGCAGATGTAATGAGTAAACCTCAAACAATACACAAGTTCTCATTGCTCCACCTTCACGCTTAGGTAAAATTCTAAAGTGTTGTCACCATGGTGGAAGAACTTTGTCTCGTCAGTGTACCATGTGTTGGGTGATGGGTTAGACTAGTACAAACAGCCTTGCAGTTATTCCAATGTTTCATTAAGCCATATTTCACCCTAACACATCATAGAGAATACAGGATCTTCAAACTGTAAAATATAGTGCCAGTTGTCGAAATTGATCTAAACTGTTTGATAAACATATTTGTTGAAAAATAGTTGATTTCCCCTACTACAAACTTTTGTGAGAGGTGAGGTGAGGTGAAATTGGGTTTAACGCTGTGCTTTGAGAATATTTCGCTTCATATGACAACGCGTATGCGCAGGTGTATGTGTGTATGCGGCTGCTTGTACTAGCCCAGACTTAAGCTGGTTTTTATAGTGCTAGCTCACTGAGATACTCATGCCGCGTGATGAATACCCCACTCAGACACATTATACTGACTCGAAGTCCACCAGTCCTTGATGTACCCATTAATGCCGAAAGCCAGGCAGGACCAACAAGTACCATATTTTAACGTCTTTTGGTATGACGCGGTCGGGGATCGAACCCGCGACCTTCCGCTCTCCGGGCGGAACAAACTTTGTGCCATGTGCAGACAGTGTATAACAAGTTAGGACTGTTCTAGTGTAGTTTGTCAGTTGACTGTGTTACATACAGACACCACCAATGTACCACTGTTTAAAGTAGTTTGTCAGTAGAATGTGTAATGTGCCGACACAATCTGGGAAACAAGTAAACACAGCTAGAGAGCAGGGTCCCGAGCCACAAAGTATTTGTAATGTTACGATCTGTAGTAACTCCATAGATTATCATATGCTTACAAATGTCGTAGCGCTATGAACATTTATGACTCAGATTGTAAGCTTTAGTGTAAAGAGCAAACACTGTAAAATGGAAATATGTACTGAGTGAAAGTCATCGCTTTATTTGTTGTTTTACACAGCCAAGGGCAATATTTTAGCTATAAGACATTGTGTGTAAATAATCGAGTGTGATCCATATAATCCAGTGATTGACATCATGAGCACCGATTTTCACAGTTTGAATAGTATCATGCATTCACCAAAACATCAAGCCTGACCACTCAACGTAGACTGTAATGACCAGTCACAAGTAGTTCATGAGGAGTCGTTGAGTGAGTAAGTATGGTTGTACCCCGTTTTGGCAATATTCCATCAATATCATGGTGGGGGGACACCAGAATGTTGAGTAGAATTAGTGAGGGAGTTTAGTTTTAAGCTGCCTTTAGCAATATTCCAGCAATATCACAACAGGGACACCAGAAATGGGCTTCACACATTGTACCTATGTGGGGAATCGAACCGGGTCTTCCGTGTGACAAGTGAATGCTTTAACCACAAGGTTACTCCACCAGGTGTTTGAGTAGAATTCAAAGTAGATCAATTAATATGCATACACATTCAGTGAGAGTTTAGTTTTATGCAATAGTTTTTTTAACAATATTCCGACTATATGTCAGCGGTCTGTAAATAATCAAGTCTGGACCAGACAATCCAGTGATCAACAGCATGAACATCAATCTGTACACACTTGGGATAGATGGCACATCAATCTGTACACACTTGAGATAGATGGCATGTGTCAACCATGGCCTGACAACCTGCTAGTCGACTCTCACAACAAGCATTGGTTCCTGAAGAGTGAGTGAGCGAATATAGTTTTACACAGCTTTTAGCAATATTCCAGCAACATCAGGGACGCCTGAAATGGGCTTCACACATTGTACCCATGTGGGGAATCGAACCTGGGCCTTCGGCGTGACAAGCAAATGCTTTAGTCACTAGGCCACCCCCACCGTCCCTGGGTTACTGAAGATCAATTCTAATTAAATGTATTTTTGATGGCCTGACTTGGAGTAGGGACACGATTGGCAGGGTCTGAGTTACTTCCATTCGATGTACAAGAGTTGCTGCCCTTGGGAATGCCAGGAACCTATGGTTGTGTGTTGGATTATGTTTCAAGGTTTGTCAGCACCATACCGTAACTTGTAGGTTTTACTGGTCCTGCATTAAGCTGACCCACAGTGATATAACTGGAATGCTGTTTAAAGCAGTGTTAAACACACCTCACTCACTCGAAACGTTTTGTATACGTCAACCGAAGACCCGGGTTCGAATCCCCACATGTGAAGCCATTTCTGGTGTCCCCCGCCGTGATGTTGCTGGAATATTGTTAAAAGCAGCGTAAAACCAAACTCAGTCAGTCAGTCAGTATACGTCAACGAATCCTTAAAAGGTATCACCATGCACCACTGCTCTATTCCCACGTGGGTACAATGTGTGAAGCCCATCTCCCCCTCTTCCTTCCCCCTCCTTCATATTGCTGGAATATTGCTAAAAGCAGCGTAAAACCAAATACTCACTCACTCACTCCACTACTCAATTCATACATTCCACACAAACAGACCTTGTTTCATCATGAACGTTTTTATTGACATCTATTTTACACAGATATACACTTCTTTGAATTTGCCTCGTTTCGGACGTCACACGCAAGCTATGTCAGTCATCTGTGTCCTGCCTTCCTGGTAGCAAAGCTTGAACTTTTTTATGTTTCAACAACAGTTCTTGAAGACAAAATTTCTTATTGCATTTCGAACAGGTATAGTTCCTTGCCTCATGACGCCGAACGGTCTTCCTGGACAGATTATCGCGACCACACAGAGAACAGGTATAGGTCAACTGTTGAGAGTTCGGGCGGGGTTTGTGGAGAGACAACTCAGATTTTGTGGCGGTAGTATATGTTTCTTGGCAGGCACCATGGACAGGGTCGATTACCATTTCTTCAGAAACAGACTCCTCGCTGTCAAATGCTTCAACCAAGGCCCTGAAATCTGAAAGTGTACTTCCAGATGCTGAAGTTGTAACAGCGGTGGTCGCTTCCTCAGCGTTATTGAAGAATCCGAAACTCTGCAGTTCATATGGCTGATGAACGGAGTCGCACCTTTTTAGAATCATCCTGTAAAGAAGAAAATCGTTGGTCTGGGAGTTGGGTATCCTTGCCTGACGAGTGCACTGAGTTAATCGCTTCGTGGTCCTCGCGTAAAGGATGCCACAATTTTGCTTTTTTGGTTTGGAGTGATGGTGAGTTGGTTGATTCTGCGGTATGTTGAAGGAAAGTTGGGTTTGTTCTGTGTGACGAACAATATCCCGACTTGCGTGTCTGAGGATGAAACCCCGACATTGTCGGTGAAGGAGAGTCAGTATCTAATATGTACCTCCGTCTGTTCAAAATACGTCTGATGTGTTTAGCATTGTGACTCCCACCTTGCTTTTCAGGACCTGTTTCGACTTGGTCACTTGATGGTCCACTGTCCTGTACTGACTCGTCTTCCAAACTTAATACCCCACAAGAATCAGCAACAAAATACATTCCTCGAGATAATTCAGCACTATCACTGTCTCCATACACAAGTTCGACTCTTTTCTCACAACCATAACTATTTTCATCGCCAATGGGCCTTTCCTGCTGTTGACTTTCTGTAACTGTTCCTCCAGAAACACTTCTAAATATGTGATTGGCCTTGACCTTCAGGGTGTCTACAGCGTCAGCACCACAAGGACGTTTGACATCAAGAGGTTGGTGCCAGGCTGGAGTAGTCTGCTCATGTCTCGCATCACCAGCTTCCTCACCCGCGTCAGACCGGGAACCAAACCGACGGTTATTTAGATATTCCAAATTCATCTTCTCCGAGTGTCCAGTCACTTCTGCAGCCATGTCGTCGACCAACGACTTCAGCGCACTGCCTCGATTTGGAACCATCTTCTCGCAACATCGAGATAGAGAGTGCAGAGGATGTTCAAATCCTGAGTGTGATTTAAGCCCTCCTTTCTGAGGAACATACCAGCTTAGAGTATTCTGTGTTGGGTAATAGACACCGCTACCATCAGAAACATCTTTGGCTGCTAGCTTTTCATGTGTCGAATTACCCACGTCATGGTACAGCATTACCTTTTGTTTCTTATATGACTGTCTTCCAGTAACAGATGCGTCACCTAGTTGAGTATCTATTGTAGTTGTTCTGAATAAGCTTACTTCGCCTGGATAGGAAACTTGTCCATAATGTGTTGATATTGAGGGTACCATGTCACTGTTACCATGACTACTTCGTGATGGCCTTACTTCCTGTCCTGCGCGGTAGTCCATACAGGAGAAGCTTCCGCCATTAGAAGGGTTCGAACGTGATGGTGATGTTGTGATGTTTCTGGATCGTTTTCTTCCACTACTAGAAATATGTTCTGGGTCCTGATGATTTAGTCGACATACGTCAGCTGTGTCGCTCAGTGAAGGTTGATGAGCTCCAGCTGCCGGTATAACAACATCATCGTGGAAGTTGCAAGTAATGACGTAATCGTCACCCCCAACTGCGTCACGTACAGCTGGCGGCTGGGTGGGTGTATCTGCTGCTCCCTCGGCAGCCTCAACGACAACGGCGGCTGGATCTACGGCTTTTCTTTCCCGCCGCCTCTGCGGTGATCTGTCACTGTCCGCCAGATAGCAAGACAGAAGAACTTCAATGTCAGATTCTATTGGCATGGCTGGGAGCTAGGTGTTCCGCTCTGGACAAGTTTAGTGGTATTAGACCTCTGTTGCGGCAACGGTGCATCAACTGGAAGTAAAGAAACAAAACAGTGAGTGAGTGTGTACGTAAGTGAGTGAATGAGTGATTTGGAGTAAACTCCGCTTCGAACGGTATTACAGCTGTATCACGGCGTGTCTGACTGTCACAGGGTGGATATTATTTCAGCCCTCGCGTTTTGCGAGGATTAAAGATTTTGAAAATATAAAATTTGATGACCCCGACTGGAAATGCTTTACAGTACAATACACTATGTCTCCTTGTCGTAATTTATTGTACTGTGAAGTATTTCGAGTCGGGGGTCATCTCAAATTATATAGATATATTTTCAAAATCTTTTATCCTCGCAAAGACACGAGGGCCTGTGGCGGATACAACATTTTGAGAAAGGGGATGGGGTTGCACACTTGGGGAACGGGGTGCACGCTTCATGTCGACCATTTCCAATGGTTATATATAAACTTTCAGGACAGGGGGGGGGGCACACCCTCCCCTACCCCTTGATTCTGAATCCGCCTATGTGTCAGTTTATACTTTTGTGTCCCATAGACACAGAAACAAATACACCCAATAAGGACCATACAAATCCAGAATATGTGGCATCTCCAGATTACCAAAATGGGCTTCATATTTTATATATAAGGAACTGTTTTTGATATATGTTCATTATAGAGACATGATGTTAGTCTAGTCAGCTTACTGGCTGGTTGGTTGGTTGGTTGGTTGGTTGACGCCGCACCCACCAATATCCCAGCTACATGGAAGTCACGAAGGCCTGGCATCGATTCCGTTTATTGGTACAATGTGTGAATGGACCATTACATTATTTAGACACGTGGTTATGGTTTGTGTGTTACACATATACATTAGACTAACAACAAGTCTACGGGTCTCTGAAATGAACATATTTTCAGAGAAAAAGTTCACAGTAAAAATAATAAAATGTAAATGGAAAGGAGCCCTGAGACTTTCTTCATTTTCAGAGACTAAACTAATCTCCAGAAGGATAATTCCTTGGAATTTCACAACATGTACAAAGGTTCTTATCTCCCATTACTGCTGAAATTGTGTGTGACAGGAATATTTATTGCCCCCAACACCTCCCCGTCCTACTGTCAGCGGTGCGGACCGTTTTGGGGTAATGAGTATCAAGTGTCGCCAAATCTATTTTGAGAGCAAGCAGTGATACCAGCTAAGGGTAGCATCTATTGATATTCCTGTGGCTGGACAACTGGATCTCACAAAAAATTCCAAAGTTACCTATATTCTCCAAAATCCAAAGGCTCGGTCTGCACTATATGTGGAAGTTTAATTGATGTCGCTTATATATAATATACTATCAGATCCCTATGACAATGTCTTTTAAAAGCGAATGGATAAAGTCACTATGTCTACATCGTTGAGGTGCACTGCTTGAGCCTAATGATTTATATTTCTCTGTTTGTTTCTTCATCATGGTAATCAAGGGTGACAAAACAATGACAGTAGCATGGCTTGTATTTTCTACTGCCTTGTATAAATAGGGAGAATTTCGAATGTCAGTGATTTTCCACTCCTGGTTGGAGAACAAAACAACACATCTTCACCACTTAAGTACCTTTCAATCATTGTATTCTGATCTGGACTTGCCCGATTTTCTATACTTGCGTGGGCTT